ATCTCTTTTAATGAATCATTACGGTATGCCACATGAGTGTAAATGTATATAGCATAAATGATGTTGAGATCTATTCTACCATGTTCCAGAAAAGGCATAAACATTCGATATTGATATGATATTCGTGGCCCCGCTTGAAATTGGCCAGTAATAAGTAAGAAGTCACCCATGTTGGCCCCGGGGGTACTATGAAATGGAGTCCCAATATCGACATCTCAGGAATGTACATACTAGATGGTACACAGGAGGCAATAAAAGAGTAAGGGATATAGACCATTGGGGAAAAGATTATGCCAAATATGGAAGATCCATATGCCTAATGTTCGAAAAGTACTTCTCCTCCCATAGTAAATGCCATAATCAAGCAAGTTCCTTCCCAAATTTGCTGCAAGACCCGAGTGGGGCATATGGATGACTCACCCCCACGCCGCTCCTCCCGAGGCTGTGAGTGGCCGAAGCTGATCTCTCTACTTTTTCTTATCCTCGCCACTCAAAGGTTTCAACGTTGTCGATCTAGCTTTCCTTATTGGTCTCAAGCCCATTTGCCCTATTTGCCCTATATCCAAAGAGCATCGGGTGCGCCATCGCGTGGTTCTTGGCGAAATCCCTATCGGGGGGCTCTGAAATAGCCCAGAACGCCCCTCCGGTACTTAATCATGGGGCCCGACGCTATCTCCGCCCTCTACGACTCGTTGACGTCTCAATCCAAACCCTCAAGTGTCGCGGCTATCCTGCGATTCTTTCACTCGGTGCGCGCGGCCGCCCAAAACGTTTCTTTCTCCTCCATTGCCAGCTCTTTCCGCGGCCTTTACCGCAATGACGATGTGAATTGGGGTCAGGTTGTCTTCTTAACTACCTGTGTGATCGCCATGACTGGATGCGGGTTGTTGTCGTCGCTGCTGAGGCGCAAGCAGTCAGGGTTAAACGCTTCTCGTGCGCCACGTGCTGCCGCTCGCAAGAGCTCGAGTAAATCTTCGAAGATTCTGAGCTCCTCGGAGGAGGAGGATTACGAAGATGAAGACTACGATAGCAACGCATCTTTGCGACATGGAACCAATCCCAACTACAAGAAGAAAGATTGGCCGTCGGACACTCAGCAACAAAGCTCCGATGGTAGGTGAATAGCTCATCTTTCACGTGAGGCCTTGGTTAACACTCGCGCAGCATATGAAACGGACCCGGGCATTCTCAGGAAATTCACCACCTACAACTCCTACACTACCTCGGTAGCTACCTATCCCGCAATTCGCACATTCTACAGCCCGCATCCACACCTAGCTCGACTCCCGATCAAACCGACTCCTATCCCACTGATCGTGGTTGTTCATGGGCTAGGCGGGTCCCTAGCACAGTTCCACCACCTCCTAACCAGTCTATCTAATGTCAGTTCGTGCTTTGGTATTGATTTACCCGGGTGCGGCCTGTCCAAGTTTGCGCCTACGGATTGGAATGCATACACTGTGGAGGCTCTATCCGAACTATTGGCTGAAGCCATTGATCAGCACCGGGACCGGGAGGCTGGTCAAGAAATCATTCTTGTGGGACACAGTCTCGGATGTTCCCTATCCGCCCTCTTGGCTTCATCAGCATCCTCCGTTGGTGCAAAGGTGAAAGAGCACATTGTCGGCCTTGTTGCTGTGTGCCCTCAAGCCTCACCCCCATCTGCGGAAGACACTACCAAGTTTCGCCGAGCGCTCTATATTCCTAGTCCAATTTTTGATCTTTGGCGTCGCTGGGACAGACGCGGAGGCGAACAAAGTGCCAGTGTTATGCGGATGGTCGGCGTCGCTGCCGACACGGAAACGCGAAATCTCCAGGTGCGCTTCAACAAGCAAAGTCGGACGCCTGTTTGGCGACGCATGGCGTGGGGCACACTTCCCACCTACGATAATCGCGACCACCCGGTTGGCGGACTCCCTGGTCAAGAGGTCTGGGCGGGAATTCGCATGCCTGTTCTGTTGGTCGCGGGAGAGACGGATGCTGTGACCAAGCCAGTGGAGGTGCAGAAGATCTTGAAATTCTTTGGTGATGCTTCTGCCCATACTACGATCGACACCAGCGGTGGCAGCATCATCCCGGACGCTTCGCGAGTCCATGACCATATGTCACCTCCATCCGGGGATCTCGTCAACGAGAAGGCGCTTGGTGTGCAGATCTCCGAGAAGAATTTGGAGGTCGACCAGCGGAAGCGAGTGGTCAAATCTGCAATTTTGCCGGCGCCCGCATCTCATGCACTCCTCTACGACCGAGCAACCTATCGCACTCTTGCAGGGATTATCCAGGATTTCCTCTCGTCAAATATCGATAAGCGCCTCGGTCTAGGCTGGCAATTGCAGCATATGAACACATCTGGAAAGTGGGATGTCAAGAATCTCGCCAAATGGCAGAAGGTCGCCCCGGTCTCGGAACGAATCGCCAACACATTTGTTGCGCTCAAGATGTTGCGCGAGGTTGACGAGGAACACAACCCTACAACTTTCTCGGCAAAGTACCGTGGTCGCATCCACGCTGTCATAGACATCAGTCATGAAAGTCCGGTCTATAACCCGGCCGAAATGGAGAAGGGTGGAATCCACTACTACAAACACCCGACTATATCCAAGATTCCTCCGACTCCAGACGAAGCACGCGACTTTATCGCTCTGGTCAATAGACTGCAAAAGGATATTGATGAGGAGATAGAGCAGCGTACGGATGAAGAGAAGTCTCTACCACGTCCAGTGGTCGGAGTTCACTGCCACTATGGCTACAACCGTACCGGGTTTTTGATCTGTTGCTATTTGATCGAGCATCTTGGTTTTGGTGTGCAAGATGCCATTGACGAGTTCAACCGATGCCGACCTCCTGGTATCCGCCATGGTCATTTCATTGACACTCTGTTTGTGAGGTATTGCGTTGGATTGAAGAGAGCGCCCACACTGTAATTGGGAATGATTTGGGCGTTGAACTGGGGCGAAGACTATGGATCAAGGCTTAGGAAACGGGGTACATCTTTTAATCGTTTCAAAGTTACGAATAATGAAAACCGTCATGAAATAGATGTTAATGGGTGTATAATTAGAACACGAGAAATAATGAAATCTTCAAAATAATCTTTCATCACGGATTGTATGTCAAGTAATTCACGCCTGGAACATCAGGCACCAAGGGGTGTGCTGTGGAGCCTTAGAGATCAGGCACAAATTAGGCCATATCACATGACCCAGCTTAGGGTACGGCTAACCCAAAATGGACAAGCGAACGGCACACAGACCCAACCCGCCCAGAGTTGTGTGTGTCTTGAAATTTTGAGCGACTCTTCGACTTCGACCCTGCCCACCTCGACGCCCAACGCCTCTCTCTCTCTAATCCCTACCCTTCGACCCCTCGACAAGTCGCCAAAATGGGTGGTGTTACCGTTCGCGATGTGGACGTAAGTGTCCTGCTCGATTTTTAGGTGATCGGTCACCAGCTCTGGTTTGCATGATGTGGACGGTTCGTTTCTGGATGCACGGATACCACAACATCGGTCGGATCATATCGCCAATATGGAAATGCTTCGCACGGATAACGCACGCAATAGGCGAATGGTTTCATTTCCTATGGGGAATATGTCGAATATCGAAGGATGTGCATGCATGTTTTGAGGGGCGAATTTTTGATAGATCCGTCTATCTGTCGGTATTCTCTCTGGAATACCCGACACGACGACTGCATCCTAGCGAAAACTCCACACGACGAATGATGAACTGCTTCCAGAAACGAATCCGACACATCTGCAAATCCACAGACTTTTGACCGATCCACGCATATGCTGATGAGCCACAACTAACATATCACTTTTCTCCCCCACACAGGCGCAGAAGTTCATCTCTGCCTACTCTGCTTTCCTGAAGCGTCAGGGCAAGCTCCCCATCCCCGGATGGGTTGATACTGTCAAGACCTCTGCCTCCAACGAGCTTCCTCCCCAGGATGCTGACTGGTACGACCGCATCAAATAACAAGCCACCAAAATTCGAACAAACAATTGACATTGCTTTTTCTAAAGGTTCTACGTCCGCGCCGCCGCCTGTGCCCGTCACATCTACATGCGCAAGACCGTCGGTGTCGGCCGTCTTCGCAAGGTCCACGGTTCCACCAAGAACCGCGGTGCCCGCCCCGCCCACCACGTTGATGCCTCCGGCTCCGTTGACCGCAAGGCCCTCCAGGCTCTTGAGAAGATCGGTGTCCTCGAGATCGATGAGGACAAAGGTGGCCGCCGCATCACCCAGAGCGGTCAGCGTGATTTGGACCGTATCGCCAAGACCACCGTCGATGAGGAGGAGGAGTCGGATGAGGAATAAACGTATCGCAACAATGGGCTTTTAATAGTTCGGGGATAAGTCGTTTGTTTTTGTGGTTTTGTCTTCGCTACGGCGGCAAGATATTGGAAATGACGGCACAAAAATAAAAATTCGGAGCTTGCGGTCCCGTGCGCGACTTTACGTTTGTTTCTTTTTTCTTGTTCCAACTCCATATTTTTTTTTATCTGACGACCAGACGGGGCTACTAGCGGAGAGAGATATGGGCGGTGCAGAGTGCATGAGGATGAGGCATCATTATCCGGAGACTTGAACGAGAGAAGAGAGCGGACAAGACGGTCTACACAATCCTTCCCCTCTCTCTCTTGTCGAGGGGAGGGGATCTTTTTTCCCTTTGACATGTTTTTATGATCTCCCTCACCTCTTTGACCCCGATCAACCCTACGGCGTCTTTGTCCCTTTTTTCTCTCGTGGTCTCCTGGAAATAAAGAGCATGTCTAAACACTTCAAAACTGTTCCGTCCTCTCTCTCTCTGTGTTGTAGATGTAGATGTAGGCGTCTGGTTTTCATTTAGCCAACCAGCGAAGCTTCAGCCTTACACATGATATAGATCAACGTTCTCCAAAGCCCAATTTATATCCAATCATTGCTATTGAATTTATGCAGCTCTCATTCTTATATATGTACAAGACAAGTCTAATGCTCACATTGCGATCCACTTCATTTCTTTCCCGACTGAGCCGCGGTATCCTAGGAGACAATCAATCAGCACCACAACCATCACAGCTAGCGGCACAGATGTACTCACTAAGTAAACCTGATAAAACTGCATCTTGATATCCTCGTCCCCCTTCTGGGGCGCGAACACAACCCGTCCAGCCCAAGGCACGTAGACATCATTATCAGGGTCGGCCTTGAGTCTATAGTTCACGCCACCATACAACATGATCTCATCGTCGCTGCCGAAGTATATCTGCATAGGCGTGTGTCGGCGGGAAGCAACGTGTGTCCAGAGACCGTGACGGAGGGTGAGAATTGCTATTATGGGGTTGATTTTGTTAGCTGGAGTACAACCCAACGCAGATGTATATTCTGCATTGAAGTGGAAATCGGAATCGGGATCGGCTGTATAGCTTCACCAATGTTAAGGGCGGAAATCAGATAGCACCATACCGCTTGTGCCCTTGGCTTCCTTAGGTCCCATGATGAGTGTCGCATCTTCGGTGAAGCTCTGGACGTATTTCTCGTGCAGAGACTCGGTGTCGCTGGTGCGGTAGAAGTCTTCCATGAATGCGACGAGCGCGGCGGCGCGGGGTGGTGCGCGGGTAGTGTCGTAGGCGATTTGGTAAGACATTGTGATTTAGAGAAATATTTGCAAGTCGAAAAAAAAATTAATGAGAAGATGGCGAGTTCTTGCGGGATATGTCTATTTCATCATGAGGGGAAATATCGGAAGGGACGTATCCGATCCTATCGAGAACGATATAGATCGAAGTTTTTCTTTCTGCATTTTTGTATGGAGCAATGGGCATGGTATTACCCTTAAACCAAGACTAGATACTGATGCATGTGAGGCCCTGCTAGATTTGAAAAGTACATGGCCTACATGTACTCGAAGTCGTACGTTGTACTTCGGAATAGCATCGGAAGTGGACATCCACACCCACAAATGATAGCCACAGTCACCCATTCAGAGATTTGTATACTAAATCGCATACTAAGCCGGGGTAATTGTGGCAGATAGTGATAGTCCATGGGTAAATGCAAGCAAGTCCTTATCACATTTATAGATTTGCCATATTTCTTATGTTGTATGAAATAAATGTGCCTTCGGTATAATACTTATACTCCGACAGTTTTGTCTGATATTCTCATTCTCTTCCTAAATAATATCACAATACAAGAGATTTATTGGCTGAAGGTTAAAAAAGAACCACTGATTGTTCCTAGCTAAGAAAAGAGAGGGGAAAGAGAGGGAATAATGCTAGCAAGTGAGAAAGAAAGCATATAGATCTTCTCAACGCGTGGCAACCGTCCGTTCCTTGACAAATACACACATACTCTTTCTCCTAGCAGATCATTCAATGCTTAGCATAGGTCTCTCGTTGAGGTCTGTGCAATTGTCTTCCTTCATGTAATCATTTTGAAGCGCTTGACGATATGGCGTCCGTGTATAGACGTAACCTCCCCCATATTCCCTCTTCAATATCCGATCCATCACTGCTCCGATCGCTCCCTCTGCATCATTATGTGCTTGCCACCATCGCCAGTCCTCTCTGGGTGAATATTGTGTACGAACACTGCTATGACCAAAGTCGATCATAGCCAATTTGTATTTGTATTCGGAATCCGAATCGTTGGCTGGGTCAGGTTGCACGATAAAGCACCTTACATTCGCATCATCGTTGAGGATTCCATGGTGCATGATGTTGTTGACAATCTCGACAGCACTGTCAATAATGGGCTGCCATGCTTTCCTTGGGGCATTTTCGTCAATTTCGTGCAGAGGGAATCCTTCGATGTATTCCATAAGAATCCCAGGGTGTTCGAAATACCGACTGAGGGGCTGACCTTGGGTGTATTCTGGCCCCAGAATTTTGGTATGTGCAAAAATTCGGGGGACATGAATGCCTTGCAGATCTTTCATCGCCTCATATGCTCGGATCTCTGATTCGTAGAAAGACTGCTTTGAAATGTATAGGTCTACCTCGTCACATAGGTAATCCCACTCTGCTTCTTCATCTCCAGAGTCCCCTACATCCTCGACCGCTGCATCGAGACTGTCGGTCTGTTGTTCTCCATTTATCCCATGGGTTTTGTGGGTAGAATTGTTTCCGTTGGCTTCAGCATTTCTGCTGACCTCTTGGGTTTCAATGTCAACGATCTTATGACGTCCCCAGGGAAGGAGCGCGGTGACTCCAGTGCGAAAAAAGCGGATGGCGCAGAATAGACCATGGGAAACCATATTGCAAGCATGGAAGATAGGAGACAGGAGCTTGATTGAGAGCATGGAGAAGCTGGAGAGAGTGCCTTTGGACTTGGCATTGTCGTTCTTGTTGGCGTTGTCGTTCTTGTTGGCGTTGTCATCCTTGTTGCCGTTGTCCTGCTCATAGGTGTTTTGTTGGTCCTCGCCGGTATCATCTTCAATGATCGTTGGCATAAAACAACGCTGTTCTTCTCTTTCTTTTATGGTACTCCTCTCGTTCTCAATCGCAAACTCCCTTCCTTCGTCTAAACAAAGGAACTTATAAAGTTCTCTCTCAGTTTCCGGGGTCCAAGGAGCCACTTTATGGCGTAGTTCGATTGAAAACCGTCGGTCATAAATCTTCAGGACCACATTTCCTTCAATACCTAGATCAGAAAGATCGGAATCAAATGAAAGGACCATAGAACATGAAAAAGTCCAGGGTTCGAAGGTTTTGACGATTGTGGCTTGAACCGGGCGACCGTTTAGCTGTAGCGTGATCTTACTACCTGCCACATACGGGCATCTAAAAACGTTAGACTAAATCAACCAGCGCGAACTGGTCACTTACTCAGTCGCTTTATCCGCAACACTCTCTTCCATTATAAGACAAAGAATGTGTAAAGCCCTACAAAGCTGGAACTAGGCCTGATCTGGATGTTGATCAAGAAAGGTCTGAAAGTAGAATAGATGTGAAAACGATTGGGAACAACTGGAAAGAGGCCAAACACACTGTACAAATATTTAACGATACAAAGAACCAAAATGACACCAAAAATAGAGGGGCAAAACACAAGAAAAAAGGAAGGAAATGTTTCTTTCATGCGAAATGCCGTGCCAACAGTCAATCTAAGGACGTCCGTACTACGTCTTCCCAAACATGGCCTTAGTCGCCCGTACATGGCGGTGATAATAAAGAATCTTCAAATTTGGAAACTGAAACACTGAAAGGGAAAGAAGCCAGAAAATATCAGCAGCGGCTTTTTGCATCAAAGAATGTGCAATAAGGATTCAACCTCCCAAGTCGGCTACCGAATTCATGCTCTAAACTTCTAATAGTATCTACTACTTCAATCAACTATCTTCTTATGATAGTATCATTTGTTTCATTAAGGATGTAGCTCTATATCGACAATTTACTTATGTTCCAGAGGGATAAAATGATATTTTATCCAGGATAATGTTAATAAAAGGCTTTGATTGTATAATTGTATAACTACGAACTCAAACAAAGGGATGAGAAACAAGGAACATAACGATAGCTTAGAACAAATAGAACAGTAAGCAACAGAGTCAGTAGAAATTAGGGAGAGGCTGGAGAGGAATCTCCAATTCATCCAACACACTCGAGGTTAAAGACAACCCCGAAAAAAAAATAGTTGCAGAAACAAACTGATGAGTTGGGAAATATATCTATATTCAAACCTGTAGGTGTGGTTGTCCTACTTGCCGATCTTGCCGAGCTCAATTCCCAGAGCATCGATGATATCCTGGGAGGTAGGAGGACTGGTCGAACCGTCCTCGTTTCGGCTGCCCGGCATAGCAAAGTTCAAAAACTTGACATTCAGGTATAAAACCTTAATCAGGTACTCTGCTGGCTCAGTAGTCGTCTTCATGCTCCTCAGTCTATAGGCGCCGAGAGTTGACCCCTTACCGTCGCCGTGGGCATAAGTCCAATCTCCTGTATCCCAATAGAACTTCAAATGTTCTGGTTTCATATTCTCCAGGTAATCCCTCGGTGTAAGATTAGATGACTTGACACGATCTTTAATGACTCCTCGTCCAGGCATGTTAATAGAAAAATAGGAGCTATGTAGGATATGTCTAGTATGTAATAGTTGTAGTAAAGGCAGCTCAAGATGGGAGTGAATGATGAGAGTGAATGATATGAGTCTTTACACCGAGGTGGACCTTCGTGCTTTTTATACTATAGCAAACGGATACTCAAGAGACTACTCGAGATATCTCGACACAAAGAGCCATCTACATAATAAAGACCACACAAAGGGTTTGTATCTATAAACATAATGCTCAAGCGCCATCAAAGACACTGAAGAGATCGAAGTTAAGGGGACTGGGGAAAAGAGCTCTGAAGGGACACTTGAAACGAGACTGCCAATGGAGGATTCCAAACAAAAGGACCAATAACCTCTTCATTTTGTCTCTGAAAGAAGCATCAATGAGACAAAGCTAAGCTTTGTGTGTATAATAGATATAGGGAGCTAAGAGATGCATATCCCTTTGTCTATACTCGAAAAACGCTAATGCCTTTTGTCTAATCCTAAGAGTCGAAGTAATCCAAAGACAATTCCAACGCGCGGCATTGTTCCAGCCCATCCAAATCCCTCATCATGGAAGGCCACTGAAACAACCGAAGCTGACTTGCTTTACCAAACGGCTCCCACAACCCAGTCGCCTCAATCTCCCGAGTCGTATTAATGTATCCCCTTACCTTCAAAAAGGCCAAGTCAGGAGTAGGTCTAGCCTCCCTCGCAAAACTCGCCCAAGAATCTAGTACATACTGTCCAAAGGGTAGATCGAACTCATCCCGGAACGGCAAACCCTGACGACGGAAACTGCCAAACACGTAGAACAGCTCGCCAGAATGGCATTTAAAGTACTCCTGGCTGGGATCACCATTTGGGAACTCATCTGTGATCGGAGCGTTGCACACCGGGGCATTGGGTGACCAGCCGGGCATTTGGTATGAACGGTTGAACTCGTAGTAGAAGATATCGGGGAAGATATGAGTCTTTGAGGCTGTATGTGCAGTTGCTTCGTCGATGCATCGGAACATTCCATCTGTGGCTATTCGAGAGGAGGTGTTGAAGATATCGAGTGTAGCATTGGTAGTTGATGGTACGGGGAATAGTTGGCTCGGTGCAACTGAGTCAGGCAGACCAGTTTCATTGAGGAAGGATTTCAGAGTTTGTCCCACTGCAGGATAACCAATCATGGCAGCGCCATCGTCTCTCATCGTACCGATCATCAAAGGCACATTGGCAGTTGATGATGGGTTTATTAAATCCAGCTCCGAGTTTCGGAGGTAGACTCCATCAACAACCAGATACCGCGCCGAGTCAGCGAGATTTGCAATCGTTGACGCGGGGAGTTGTCTCAAACATTCCACTGCTGAAACAGCATCTGTGCAGTTTGTCTCGTTGAGAATGGCATTCCCCACAACTTCCATCTCCTGCGCGATGGTATAGTACTTCGAGTAGGTTGTGCCATAGGCCAAACCACCAAGATTGCTCTGCATAATTGCACCAGCGAACTTACCTCGTGATACAGGAGAAGCAAGCAGTGCCCGTACTGAACCTGCACCGGCCGATTGGCCGAAGATGGTTATTCTATCCGGATCGCCGCCGAAGTCCCGGATGTTTCGACGAACCCACTCCAGCGCCGTGGTCTGGTCTGCCAATCCGTAGTTCCCGTTGGTTTCGCCATCATCTAGTGCAAGGAAGCCCAATGTTCCCACACGGTAGTTTATGCCGACGACCACAACATCACCTCTCGAGGCTAGATTGCCGCCGTCGGATGTCGGGTCACTGCCAGTGCCACCGGTGAAAGCCCCGCCGTGAATCCAAAGCATCACAGGTTTGAGATGTCTCTTTCTGACTTTGTTGCTTTGGGGAAGATAGGGAGTCCAAACATTGAGGAACAAGCAGTCTTCCGAACCAGTTGTGCCTTGTGTACAGTCAGAGCCATAGTCGAGAGCCGAAGCCTTTTTGCCAGACCCTTTATACAATTGGGAATAGTCCCATCGTTGGGGCTGTTTAGCGTAGCGAATTCCTAGAAAGCGGAAACTGAATCGATCCCGGAATCTATATTTTGTTAGGACATATTGCGAGTTCTGGGAAATACTAGTTCCTACCCAGTGAGGTATTCATCGTTAGAGTGGACAGTCACCTGCCACTGAGCACTTGTATCCTGGAATGTACTGTTGGAGAATGGAGCACTTTGTGTACAAAGAACGGGCAGTTTTTCGTTTGCAGAGGCTTTATTAACCCGACCATTTGTGTCGATGGTGGAGAGTTTGTGGTGGTCCGAGGCCGTCCAAAAACGTTGGCTGCGAGTGTATTTGCCTTGAAATACAAGGTAGTCCAAGTCGCTTTGAATCTTTTTGTAACTGGAATCAGTCCCCCAGAGAGTCTCTCCAATCTTTTGACAACTTTCAGCGGCTTCTTGCCATGGTCTCGCATCGAGCACCACAATTCCTGAACTTGACAAAGGACTTTCGGTTTCTGTTCAATGGTCAGTTCTTGATTCCATATTCTATTATCAGGGAAGATGCATACCTAGCAGGTCATTGTGAATGAGAATGGAAATATCAGAATGTAAAGACTTGGGGCTTACTGCTGCATTCGCAGTGATTGCCAAACAGAGAAATGCAAACCCATAGTAGACCATTATGGTCAAATACGTGATGATTCGAAACAACCTCTAAGCTACAGGAAGCACCTTATAATCCTATTTAACGATTTCTCTTTTGGCTAATTGTCGAATTGTCAAATTATTTAGGCACTCGAAACCCCGCGTCGGGACAATGACCTTGATAAAATAGGTGAAGATGAGCATTTATCCGATCATAAGAATTCAACATCTTCAACATCTTCAACATATTAGTTTTCAAGGTTAATAGGACATAAGCTTATTTTACCCCTGGTTATATATAGAAATGTCATTGGCACGGTTTACCCTTTTTCCCGCCTTTTTCTACTGTCTAGCTATAAAACTGAGAGAAAATAAGTAAAATTGACTAAAAAGAATATATGAAAAGACTGCTAAGACATCACCAAAATGCATAAGTGAACTGTTTTAAAATCATAACCAAAAGTACTCCGTAGTGAAAGCATCTGTAATCCCCCGCACAGGGATTTTCCCCATAAAGGTTCCGAAACAAGATCTAAGATCTCACAGACTGAGAAGATTTTCGATTCTTTATAGCACAGTCATGGAGGACTCAACGCAATCAAGAGGCAGTCTACCTCCACCCCCACCTCCCCCACAGAATCCTCGCTCAAAAATATCACCCACAGTCCTAAAGATGCGAAGCACATCTCCCAGCCACTTCTTTCAATCCCAAGTCCGACCTCAAACCCAAGACCCTGCGCCAACAGGCCCATACTTTTTCTACGGTTCACTTCAAGACCAAAGTCTACTCGTAGATTTGTTATGCCTAAAACACACCTCCCACTTGCGACCCGCATACATCAAGGGGTACAAGTGTAAGCTTTGGGGGCACTACCCGGCCTTACTCTCTGGTGATCCCGAAGATACTGTCACAGGGGCTGTGTACGAGGTACCGACAATTGAACACGCAGAAAAACTAGCGGCGTATGAGGGGCCTAGCTATACAACTGTTGCATGCTCAATTCGGTATACGGATGGCGAATCTCCAATGCAAGCAGAGGGGTACGTGTTTCTCTTCGTGGGGAATATGCGCGATATAAGTGAGGGGTCTTTTGATTTAAAGCTTTGGTCGGAGAGAAGGACAAGAAATAATTGAGGGAGACGTGGGGGCTCAGACTGCGGAAGAATGTACAGCGCAGAGTCAGAATGGTCATCGGCACCTATCACTCATATTCTGAGTCAGATTATTGACTAAATATTCTCTGACTACATGTACATATAAGCAACAGTTTTAATGGAAGCATGACTAAATATGATACCCAATATCGCAGCCCTGGAGGGGTAAAGCAGGGTACGTGGTATCAGGGACCGGTCAAGGCACAAACAACTCGAAGACCAACAGAGGCCAAATAAGACTGTCAGCTGTAGCATGATTAGCATGATTGAGGGGTTATAATTGTATAGAACTGTAGAATGGTATAGAAGGTGACATGCAGGGTTAGCTCGTCACCCGCATCTACTTCCCGCACAATGGGAATTAAATGACCGAATTAGGAAAGCCCACAATTATTATTTTTTTTTAGCACAGACTCCCACAAGTCAAGTGTACTCCGAACAGCTGGCTATGTCGTACATGGACCTCGCGCTAGGGCAATGCATTCCTCGGGGCAACAGGTGCTTGGACTTTCAAGTCAACTATGCAGGATTCCAAAAGATAAGGCAAATATGGGATTGTACGGGTGAGTTCATTGTTTATGTACACATACTCCTTATCCTGCACACAAAGAGTTATACAATATACCTTGGAATAAACCCTAGCCAAGAGTCACCGGTACAAGTGACGTCAAGGGCCAGAGCCCAGATTATAGTGGGACCCGAGGGAAGTGGATGTACCTAGTACATACCCGAGTACTTTATGTTCGGAGCACAAGTTACAGGGTAATTCAATGGTCCCAATGGGCAATTCTAGATGGAAACGTCACAGAAATAATGACATGTACAGTGTGTACTCCGTATGATGTCCACAGAATACCAAAGGTTGAAGTTCTTTAAATGGTCCACGTGCCCTGAACGACGGTTATCAGCCGATAGGAGAAAATAGGGTTACGCCCTGGAGAGCGCTGCAAGCGTTCATTAAAGGCGCACGAGCACTTACGATCACCATGACTGGCCGATAACAACTTGGCATGAGGGGTTTTTTATTTTCTATTACTCAGATATCTTTTCAAGGAACTGGATTTACTTGATCGGCTCAGGGATGTTAGTATGAGAATCAGTAGGAAGATGGTGTATATACTTATATTGTATAGAATCTATAGCTATATTTTTTTATATAATTATACATAAAAATAAATATAGAATACAGAGTAATAATGTAGTATAATAGAACCTTGGAAGTAGTATAGTAAAGAAAGCCGGAAGCACCCGGTGACGAGGCGCCAATCAATCCACCCACGCGCTTTCCTGAACGGACTACCCTTGGGCCTTCTCTAAGTACAAAGGTGTAAGTCACTGGGGCTTGTACCCCTCCAAACCTATCTTCTCTTCTTCACATATCTCTTCGATACTTGATCTGTTCGAACTCCTCGCCTTCCAAGGTTGGAATCTGCTCTTATCGCGACTATCGCTCTCCCCTTGCCGCGTCGCATCCCCTACGTGGATCCAAGCCCTAAACAAGTTGGCCCCAACTTCGCTACACCGGCTACAGTGTCTCTTTGTCACTGTGTGTGAAAGGTTAGTTACTTGCTCTTGTCCCTTTCACTCTGAACCTATTTCTGTTGCCACCCGATCATTCCGTGGTACTCCTTTGTCGCGTTTTAGAAGGTCTTCTGACTCATATACCCCGGTTTGCGCGCTTTAGGTTCTTCTCCTTTCACAAATCCATATTCTTCCATCATGGCTTCCCAGACAAACTCCAGCATTGCAATGGCTCTTGCTGGCAAGACTGCTTCTGTTGATATCCCTCAGCGCCGCTCTGGCCTGAGTGGCGGCCATGTCGCTACGCGACCCGGGATGCCAGCGATGCTTCCCACGCCACCCAACTCTATTTCCCCGACTCTGCCTCCTCAGACCTTCAAGCACCGAGTGACCCTATCGCCGGGATCGCCGCTGTCAACTGTCCCCCAGTTGGACTCCGATATCGACCTCGAGGATGCGGAACACGCCAACGGTCATCATGTCTCCCTGCCTGTCGATGACCTCGACAGTACCGGCGCGATCACCCCTGCCATGCTCTCCAAGTATCATCTCCCCGAGATCTTGCTTCAGCAGGGGCCTTTGGCTATCCGCCACGTTATGGGTCATCTGACAACTTCGGTCCCTGGCTTTTCGCATATTCCCCCAGCCAAGGCGCGCAGACTGGTTGTCGCCGCGTTGGAAGGTCGAGGAAATGGAGGAGAGGCAGGTGGTGTCCAAGGCGACGTGGTGTTCGAGAAGATCGGTTGGGGCCGCTGGGACGCGCGACGTCGTGGTGAACCTGCTCACGATCGTGATTTGAACACTTCGTCGTCGCCTCCATCGAGTGTCGCAGGTTCGTTCCAGCAGCGTGGCCTACAGATTCAGGGTCAGTCGGGCTGGCAGGGTGGCAACCGTCATCCCTACCGTATGAGCTTTGCCGAATCCACGGCATTCTCGTACACCGACGATTACGGCATGCAAGGGGACCTCGACATGCTCGAACACGAGGCAGACAAAATGTCTCTCGATGGTGACGACGGCGAGTACTGCTCTTCCTCGGAGGCTCCCGATGAGATGCAAGAGAACGAGTGGGTTGAAGGCGATGACACCGATGAGGAGGACTGGGCACAAATTGGCGCTGACGCTTTGCGCGCCCGTTCCATGAACAACAATGGCAGTTTCATCAACAGCCATGTCGCTGCGCGTGCAAAGCCCCAACCGTCTGGGATTTTCCCCGCCACTTGTCCATCTGTGGCTAAATTGCCACCCCGCACCTTCGACATCCAGGAACGCGCCGCTGTGGAGGCGCTCCTCTGCCTGGGCTCCATGTAATGCCCCACCCTCATCATGATCGGCGTTTATTTCTTTCAACTCTTTGCGGGATGCACTTTTATTCCTTTCATATTCACGGCCGTCGAAGCTGGTCTGGACCGCTTTGGGCCGTGGCTTTTCGGCAATTCATCCAGAAAAAAAATCCAAAACCAGGAAATTTGGTTAGCTTGCAGTGCAACTACCTCGATTGATAGGCGTTGGGTTTGGACCTTTGTGGTATTGGGTTTCCAAGATGGCGTTCAAGTTTTCACTTTTGTCTTATGCCTGATACGAAACAATTTGTCATGACGTTTCAGGGTAGCAGTCGCGTCGCTGCTACCACTATGACAACACCAAATACCCCTTCTCTTCTCTGCACCCTTTTTTATCTTTTACATGGGTTGGCTCACAGTACTATTGTCTGTCGCCTACTCATTCTGGCGTTTATCTTTGCATTAGTCGTGTTAGCTACCGCTGCTACAAGACTCCTCGTGTTTCTTTCTTCATGCTTCGGACTTTTCTAATATTCTACTTTGTCTCTTTTTTTTCTTATGGGTTTTCGATTCCAACAACTCCCCAATCATCCTTGGAGGATCTCAGCCATCTGGCGGAAGGTTCCGGTCGTCTTTATTGATTGCACTGACCCTTCTGGCTTGTATGGAATCTCAGTCATCTTCACTGATCCAACTGAGATGTTGTCTTCTTCCTCTCTCTTCCTCTCCCTATCTCTATTTGTCTGTGTTTCACTTTATGTGCCCTACGCATAGTCTGTTGTACATTGAAGGTCCATCACCCTTGCATTGCCTTGGAGGGTTGGGCTTCAGTTTTCGAGGCTGAATACTTAACGCTTCAGTCGTGGATGGGATGGAGGTACATAGGCAGTTACCTAGTTTAGAAACTTAACCCGCCGCAAATCCTGCGCGGTTCAGTTGCCACATTGTTCTTGTAAACTAAACTGTCCTCGGTATATGCTGGATGTTCTCATCCCAACTATGAGCTTTCCCATGAAGCTTGACGTAATTCAAACTACTTTATACTCCAAAGCCACCACTCATTTTGAAAATGCAAGTCTAACCAAAGAAGTGGTATTGAAAATATCATTCAAACCAAACTCCAAAGTACAAAGTACAAACCCAAAGTACAAACCCAAAGTCCATAACCCAATTTGATACTCCCATCCTACCCCAAATACCCTATCTGATACACAAAACCCTAACCCACCGCATGCGAATCCTCTGCCAATAAACCCATAGTAAAACATAGGACATAGGACAAACCCCAACCTAATCCATCCTACTCATGAACATCATTAATCTTCTTCCAAACCCCCTTCTCAACCTCCGCCAACTTATTCCCAGACCACCTCATCCACCCCTTCGCCGCACCCAAAAACCCCTCCTCCTCATCAGGGAAGATACTACTCGCCCCACCCCCATACCCAGCCCCATCTCCAGCACCGTAATGCAACGGCAGGGTCTGCGGACGAGCGTGCGATCCCGCGTTCCCCTGGTAAACAGACGAATAAGGCGAGGAAGTCGAGTTAGGTGATGCAGTCTGCGGACCCAGGGTAGATGCGTTGTAGGAGTAAGATTGCGTGTAGGTTTGATTTGTTGGTCGGGCTGATGGGGGCGGTGGGTAGATGGGGTCGCTGGGTTTGGGGGGTTGGGGGTGTGGAGAGCGGGATGTGGGTGTTGCTGATGCTCTGGTTTCTGGGGATGGGAGGGCGCCCGGTTGGGGGGCTGGTGGGGTTTGGGTTGTGGATGTTGCTGGCTCTGGGATGGTGGTGGTTGGTGGTGGTGCTTCCGGGGCAGCTGTTGGGGTTGCTGTTGGGGTTGGTTGGACCGGTGTGGCGCCTGGTTGGGGTGGTGGTGGTGTTGAGAGTTTGGGCTCGGCGGTTGTGTAGATCGGGGGGTTGGAAGGAGCTGTTGCTGTTGCTGTTGTTGTTGCGGGTGCTGATGGAGGTTCGGAGGGTGCGCTTGCTAGTGACTCAATTGCGGTGGCGGGTTCGGGCTGCGAGGTTGTTGTGTGTGTGCCTTCTTCCTGGTTGGAGTTCACGGGCGCTGAGGTGTAGGTTATGATACCTGTTGGAGAAGACATTTTGGATAGATGTTTTGTGAGAGGGTTAGGTGTCAAGGGGAATGGAGAGGGTTTGTAGCTTCAAGGAGCCTAGACGTCATGGTTATTGCCGCTGTGGAGCCTTGCCGCTTTGGGACTTCTTTTTTTATTTAATTTTTGGCTGTTGCCTGTGAAGTCTGAAAGATCCCAAATGACGAAGGGAACTTACAGCAACATAAGTGGTTGGCCATTTGCTTGCTGTTGTTTTGGCTATGTGCACATAACTGAAAGCAGCATGAGAGATGATGAGAACTCAAAGGATTGACCAGAGAACTCAGACAGTCTTAGCTAAGTCCTAGCTTGATATTATGATTTACTTTTATAATGTTTACAAAGGAGCAAGTTGAAAAAAAACGAAAGAGTTTGCAGGCAGTAAAGTACATTTGGGTACAAAAAGGAAGAATCAACCATTCTATGCTTCAAGATCCTTCGGACCCATTTCTTGACGCATCTATCTTTTGACCATCCCACATCCTCGAATTCCACGCCCAGTGGTTACACTGGGGGAGGTATGCATCCCCTATTCCAGTATAACTACAGTGGCAAGAGACTCACATTTCTGCGAATCGCTTAGAACTTCTTGCCGAGGAGGAGGAGCTGGGCCTTGTCGTAGATGGACAGGACACCAGCACCGGCAACACCACGGAGGATGTTAGCACCGGCACCCTTGAAGAGAGACTTGACACCCTCCTTGGCGACGATCTGGCGGGCAGCATCCATGGAGGACTTGTACTTGACGGCCTCACCGGAGGTCATCATCATGCGGCGGCGAACGGTGTCAAGAGGGTAAGAGGCAACACCGGCACCGGTGGTGACGGTCCAGCCGAGCAGGAAGGAGGCGATGAAGGAGCCCTCAAGAGGACCGACGAGGAGAACGGGCTTGATGGAATCGTACATTCCGAAGTAGAGACCACGGTAGACGACAATTCCGAGAACGGAGGGACCGAAGCCACGGTAGAGACCGGCAATACCGTCGGAGGCGAGGGTCTTGCGGTAGACATCGACGAGTCCGTTGAACTGGCGCTCACCGGAGCCCTTGGAGGACTTGGCATCGTTGGCCAAACGGGTACGGGCGTAGTCCAGGGAGTAGACGAACAGAAGGGAAGTGGCACCGGCAGCCTAGAGGTTTTGTTAGCTGTGATTCAAGCGCTAGGGTATGTTTGAGATACGTACACCACCGGAGGCAAGGTTACCCATCATCCACTTGAAGTATCCATCACGGTCCTTCTTGTAGGCGAACATGGACTTGTAGGTGTCGCGGAAAGCGAAGTTCAGGGCCTGGGTGGGGAAGTAACGGATGACGTTGGCGGTGTTTCCACGCCACAAAGACATAACACCCTCAGCGGCGGCAGTGCGCTTGAAGCAGTCGGAAATGCCGTTGTACTTGCGGTCGAGACGACCCTGCTTGAGCATCTCATCCTATTTATCGAGTCTGGTTAGATGCTGAATTGATGGAGATATTGAGCAGCCGACTGTCACGGGCCAAGGGAGAAAAATTTTCACAGGCTGTGATTGATGCGGGAAAAAACAGTTTGAGTCAAGATATTGTGCCTCAAACTGAATTGCAATCACAATCAAGCATGATATTCTGCCTCTGGCCCATTCCAATCGTTGCTTGACGAGTGGTAACGAACCTGGTTCTGGATCAGGAGCTTGACACGCTCAATGGGGGCAGCGGCGGTCTTGGAGACAGCGGCGGAGACACCACCCACTAATACACAGTTAGTATTGATATTCGAAGTGTTTAGACTGGCAATTGCTAGTCAATGCAGGCATCAAGCGTGACACGTACTCAGGAAGTCGACAACGAAGCCCTGTGAAAATTTTGGTTAGCTTGCTTGCTCGGTTCAATTCATGTTGAGATAGCGATGACCGGTCCTTGACATCGCAGAAGCAAGTCCGATGATACTTGATGAACATCTCATCGCATCTCATCGTTCTAAATCTTCACGCGACATCGAAGGCCAGCTCACAGGCTCACAGGGAGACACTCACGGGCATGCCGAAGACCGACTTGTCGGCCTGGTTAACGTCACCGGAACCCATTTTGAAGATAGTGCAAAAGAAACGGGATGCAAAAAAAAAGAGAGGAGATGGAAAGAGTGTCAAGAAGAAAGAGACACCAGGGATAATGAGGAAGAAAAAGGAAGAGGGAAGGCGGGAAGGGGGGCCAGAAAAAAAATACTCGACCGCCGGGCGCTAAGACCCAATCAGGAAGCCCAGGGGGTTAAATTACCGTATCTTACCGTTATTATACTGTATTAGTTTGCCTCCTGCCGATATCTCCCGATCCACTGAAAATTCTGCAATCTGGCCAGCTGGTCTTGATATTGGGTCTGGACGGTGCTATGGGTATATCGGGGTCTTTTTTGATATGTTAAATAGATCACTCTGTCTCTCTCTACAATATAACGTCCCATCAATTCGCTTTTTTGCTTTGGAAATCATCCAATATCTCATCCTTTCACTGTGATCATCGACATCCTGTAGTCCCGAGCAACGGCCCAAGCGCCGGTGCATAGTACCGTAGGGGTACGGTGTATATTTCCCTGTCCAATGCCGGACCTCCACTCCCCGGGGCAACCTCCTTTTCCATGGCCGGGTATCCGATGGCAAACGGGGCATAAAAATTATATCTCGGTCTTGCCACCGACGTAGCTATTCCCTTCCGGCCCTGAGTATCTGGGGTTGAATGATTTTGAATGTGTCACTCTTGATTAGTTATTGAAATTAGACTCAAAGGACCCAATGTTACTACTATGTGTACAGAGGGAGTAACCTTTGTTCGTCTCGGGCGAGTGGATTCTCCCGAGGTCTCCTCGGCGCCCATATATTCTTTATTTTGAATTCTTACTGAGATGATGTACGACATTGTACGGAGTAGCATAAACAAATCAATTGAGCAAATGTGACCTCTTTCAGGTCTCTAAGATATGTGAGGAATACCTGACTTCAATGTTGATATGAGACATTTTCGTCCTTGCTATTTTTATGTCGCGGGTACAAACTTTAAGGTGGTAGATCGCCGCATGGACGATGTACCTAGGTACTTCACATGTTAAAAAACCGCCACCCAATAGCACAATGGCTCCACTTTCCTTGGTCCTTGAGGAAATGTCCGTACAGATTATTCTGTACTACTTTCAAGTTTATTAGCTGTCTAGGTCATAATAGCAGTATTGGGAGCTTCCTGTAGCTGCACATGTTGGAGTCAAAACATCGACGTTCGCCCCAGCAACCGCTAGCGTCTGAGTGGGCCCGCATCGCATGGGAGCTTTCCGCTTTGGGAGCTACCAAGTCCTACAGTTAGTATAGCATATGAGCCTGAAAGAATGCGAGAAAATAATGCTTCTTCATATGATTTTGAAGATCTGTAGGCTGTGGTATTATCTTTAGCGCATGGACGATAAATTAGAGTCGCAATTTGTGTTTTATGTTTCGGCTCTCTGCAAAGCTGCAAATATATATCTTTAGTAGGACCACCATCTAGCACTCCCTGGAACTGTCTATATACATTTTTTTTTCGCTTGCATTGTAATTACTTCGAAATGACGATGTGTACACCGGAGATATACAAGGAACTATTCTCAGAGTGCCTAAGTAGACCTTTCAACTTGAACGGAAAAGGTTTTGGTTCGTTTCATAAATTATTTCGAAAGCTATGAACAATGGCAGAGACAGATGCAACACGTTTAATGCTTCTTCGACCTCTTTCTCTTCTTACGTGTGCCATCTCCTTCTCTGATATCAACCTTATCCTCACCAGCAATCTCCTCGGGCTGGCTAGGTTGGAAATCGCCGCCGAACTTGAACTCCGGCCCATTCTCATCACCGAAAGTGTCCTTGCGCCACTCACGAAGTCGGGCCTTCTTGCCCAGCTTCTTCTGATCGCGTCGCTTCTGCTCCTCTTCGCGGAAGGTGGCCAGCTTCTTCAGACCAGCGAACTTGTTGAGTTGTGTGTCGTCTGCCATGAGGATATCCCGTGCCGTCAAGCCAAAGCTCTCTGGCGAGGTTTCGCGGTAGCGGAACTTTGTGGCGTTCTTCTTTGTAGCTCCGGGAAGCAAGGTGATATCGAGATCCAGGTTGCGCTCAACCGCATCGTCAATGCGAAGACGGTCTTTGCGGGCCTCACGTTTCTGCATCCGCTTCTCTTCGGCCTTGCTCTTCTTCTTAGATCCGGAAGCTTCGTCGTCATCTTCGTCTTCGGCTTCTGATAGTTCGAGTGTGGGCTTCGCTTCCTCCTCCTCGTAGTCCGGGACCAAGTCGTTGATATCGATATCGTCATCCCATGTAGGCTTCTTGGGATGCTTCTTCTTCTTGCTTCCCTCATTTTCGCTGCCTTCACCCTCCTCCCCAGCGTAATAATCCTCGCCAAACCGTTTTTGCATCTCTGATTCCCAGTTTGAGTCGTCCCAGGAAGCGTCCAGGAAACGAGACCAGTCGTCGTCCGTGAAGTGTGAGGCACGAAGTCCGGCAACCTCCTTGATCTGCTCCACCTTTTTCTGGAGTTCCTCAGTCTTCAGCTTGCGAAGACGATTCTTCTCAGTTTCGCGCTGCTTCTTCTCCTCTTCCTTGAGTGCGCGTTCGGCGTCACGAATCTTCTTGCGGGAGCTCTTATCTTCGCGACGGACAGATTGCTGGTTGGTGAGATCACGAGAGTGGGTGACTATCACCTCGTTCAGCTTGTTGGGGTCTTCGAAACGGAAGTTGTATGCTTCCTCCATAGCTTCCGCGCGCTCGATATCGTCATCTTCATCCGAATCAAATGGATGCAGCTCTGGCTTGTCGGTGGGGATCCAGGCTCGTGCTGACAAGAAGTTGGACAGGAAAGTCTCGGGGTCTTTGTCCGCATTCTCAACATCGACTTTGATTTCAGACTTAGGCATCGAAATGTCCTGGCCAGGCTTGCGGACCATGAACTCGTCGGCATCTTCCATCTCTTCGTCAGACTTGTCTGCCGCTCCGTGCATCTCCTTGACAATAGCATTCTTCAAGTCGGCTTGCTCTTGGGCATAGGTCCTTGGGGTGTCTTCCTCTTCGGCTGGGTTGACACCACTCAGAAGATTTTCGGTATGGTATTGTCGCAGCGTCATTGACTTTTCCTTGGGGCCCTTTCCGGCATCGGCTTCCTCTGGATCGTACTTGCTGTAAAAGCTGGCATCTTTGTCGTAAACGCGAGGATCCTTGGAACGAATGGCGTTCAAAGTCGCCGAGATTTCAGCATCCAGAGCTTCCGTAGCGAGCTCTGCATCGTCATCTTCTTCTTCGGAGTCGGAATCCTCAGAGTCTTCGCCTGGGCGGTTTCCAAGGCTGGAGGACTTGCCATACTTTGCTTCCACTGTTAATCAACCCAATGTTAGCATATGCGAATAAAGCGCAAAAAGTGTCGAGTATAAGCACGTACGTCTCGCAACTTCCTCTCTCTTCTTGTTGTGTTCAAATCGACGAGCGTAGTCTTCATTGATCTTGAATCCGGCATCAGGCGACTGCTTGCCGAGGAGAACTCCACCAGCATCGTCCCCAGAGTCGCTGTCGCTATCCTGGTCCAAGAGCTTTCGCATTTTCTTAGAAGGAGGCTCCATTTTGTGTGATCAGGTATATGTTTAAAGGCCGACTCGGTGAAATCCCCAATTGGCAGAAAGAAAAAAAATCTCACACCGCCCTGTGAGAAACCGCCTTCTTACTGCCTTGAAGATCAGGCACCAAGGCACGAACCTGACGTAGCCAATTAGGATCATCTCGTCCCCGGAGGCTCAGGGTTGAGGAGGTCTCAAGCAAAGTCGAGACCGCTACAAGGAAAAAATCTTACACGTGGGCTCTCTCTAAGTTTTGAAGTTAAATTGATAATTGAGTGGCATGAACGAAAGGAGGCTCATTCACACCCCTCGCGTCTCGGTCTTTGCTCACGCCAAGTGTATGGCTGGAGACATACACTAGATGTCGACTCAAGCACAAACCCCGTTACCCCAAGTTGGGAAGCTTGTGAGCGTTGTGTGAGTATTTGATATGCCTGCTATTGGAATCCTCTTTCCTGCATGCTAATGTATACGTCCATTTTCCAGCCCGGTCGGTCTCAAAGAAGCTGCCCTCGACTCGCCTACCTTTCGTGCCACCACCCTCCATTTCTCCGATCAGATCGATTTTATAGAGAAATGGCTCGACGGATATGCCAAAGCTGCAACAAAGCTCTCTTGCGAGCTGACCACCGTTGAGAGTGTAGTGAACAATTTTCTTTCCTACTCGACACATCCCCTCGTTGTCTCGGAAGCGGTTGTTGACCATGATTATACACTTTTGGCTATGAGGAGGTGTGGTGAGGGATCTAAAGATCTTTGGGGTGGACTCGTCCGAACAACTAGAAAGATGGAGTCGTTGATTTCGGAACCCATTCGAGATTTCATTAATGAGGATCTGCGGCATTTTAAGGTACCGAGAAGTCCCCGCACCACGTTGTTCTCATCCAGGATTATCTGACACGGCTATAGGAAATTCGTCGCAACCTCGAGAGTTCCCAGAAATCCTACGATTACCTCCAAGCTCGATATGCCTCTCAGTCGAAATCCAAGGAGGCCTCGGCCCTGAGAGAAGAAGCGTTCCAGCTGCATGAAGCCCACAAGGCCTACCTGAAAGCGGCAATGGACTACTCGGTACAGGGTCCTCAGGTACGAAATGCTCTTGACCGACTCCTGGTCAAGGTCTCCTGCGATCAATGGCGAGAATTCCGGGAATTTCACAACTACAATAGCGGGAGCTACTTGAAATGGTCCCACGAGATGGATCGTATCAAGGGTTGGCTTCATGAGATGGAAGGGAGTGAGAAGTCATCCAAACGAGAGCTGCTATCCACCCGAAAGCACATTGAAGAAGCCGCGGAGTTTGCATTTCGACCGTCTCGTGAACTGGAGGACTATAGTATCTCGACCGTTCCATACCTTGGCTCTCGTCCTATTTCGACGCTTAATGTGAGTAAAGAGATGCGACCAGAGAAGCAAGGGTGGCTGTACCTGCGCACATTGTCAGGAAAGCCTACTCGCACTGTTTGGGTTAAGCGGTGGGCCTTCCTCAAGAACGGCATATTTGGGTGTCTTGTACAAGGCTCTCGCACCGGCGGCGTTGAAGAAAGTGAACGAATCGGTGTACTGCTTTGCAGTATTCGTCCTGCATTCCAGGAGGAACGCCGATTCTGCTTCCAAGTGAAGACCAAGAACAACACCATTCTGCTGCAGGCAGATAACCAAAAGGAGCTAATGGAATGGATTGGTGCTTTTGAGGCCGCCAAACAGAAAGCATTGGAAAACCCCGCAAGCACCGATCTTTCAGTTTCTGGAAAAGCCACAGTTCAAGACCCTGCATTTTCAATTTCTCAGCCTCCGGCTTCTGAGTTCGCTGCAGATCCTGCGGATTCTCTTACCCCTAATGCGCACGATGAGCCCGGAGGTGGAGAGCGCAGTATGACGCTTCCTGTTCCGGACCGTGATGGACATACCATGAGAAATAGCACCGACATTGGAAGCGGCAGAAGACCCACAGGCTTGGATAGTGAGAGCTCTGCAAGAGAACATGCAAGAGAGCATACCTCTAGACTCATCCAAAAGTTGGATCTTCACCGCAAGTCGAACAATGCGGCTCCATTATCTCCATCCATCCCTGGCCCTGCAGGTGGAATAGCCAGCCTAATCTCTGCCAGCCATAATATTCTCCCTTACAGCACCACCGCTTCACTCAACGTGAATGACGATAGCGGGAAACGAGGTCGCAGTTTAAGCAACGTGGATGAGCCTGGCTCAAGTCTTGCACCTGCCACGCTCGCCAATCCCCCGGCACCAACAAGCATGAGCAAGGCGGCAGTGGTTGTGAGCAATGAAAGAGGTATTGGACTGGGTGTCTCTGATAGCACAGGTGGCATGCCCAGTGGTATGATGGCGAACCTGTGGGGTAGCTCTAACTGGGGCTTCATGAACAAGCTTCAACGGGAACACCAGATCGATGGTCCTTCTGATGACACCCCAGGAGGCCGGCAACCTTCCCCCTTGAGCGATACCTCAACAAACGCGATCGCCGCACAGCCAGATGCAGCAGGTGCTTTAGCAGCACCCCGACAGCAATCAGGTCCACGCCACAGACAGACAGTAAGCCTTGACGGAGATGATGTTAAGCTCGCGCAAGTTGCGCTGGGTATCGGGCACGAATATCCCAGCTACTATCCTCAACAATTGAGGATTCAAGATGCTCAATTCAGATTGCTTTTCCCAGATGTCAAGAGAGCGGAAGCATTGCTCTTGGTGTTCAGAGCCACCTGGAGCCCCAACGACCAGCAAGAGTTCCCCGGACGAGCGTATGTCACAGCAAGAAACATCTACTTTTACAGTCATTATTTCGGACTGGTTTTGACTACCGGTGTGTCTTTGGAGAGCATTAAGGAGGTAACTGCAGCCCCTGGGCGAGACTGTGACTTCCTTTTCCTTCACACTATCCCACCCCTCGGCAGTGATACTCCTGGCCGGGTTACGATTAAAACTTTCCTTGAACCTCTCCGACTTCTTCAAAAACGGCTCAACTTCTTGATCCAAGGCTCCATTGCCGTCGAGCAATTGTCTTTGGAATCTATGATCAAAGCACTGATCAAGATGGACACTGGATCTCCAGCCCGAAACTCCAGTGCAGATAGCTGGGAAGATCTCTCTTCCGGACTTGCAGACATCAAACAAGATGGGGGCAGGGTGCCAGACCTGGGCCTTGCAAACGACATTCGACTCCCTATTTACGTTGACAAAGATCTTGAGCTGGATGGAGGCAGGACTGGCCGTGGTCGGGATGCTGCTAAATTCAGACTCCCAACCCAACCCGTGGAGTACGTTCCACAAGGTGATCTCGTTTTAGTAACCGAAAAGATTCTCGATATAAGTCCTAAAGCTTTGTTCCATATATTATTTGGCGACAAAAGCGCCGTGTGGCAGCTTCTTTTACATGAGAGGCAAGCTCGAGGTTCGTCGATTTTAACTCCCCAATCGCTTATCCATGGCTGACATTGCAAAGAAATCAAACAAGGCCCATGGGCTAGTACAGAATCGCGGCATTTGAGGCGTGATTTCTACTACAATATCGGCATGACAGATATCTTTGGTAGGGTTGACTATGAATGATCTTGGGATCGAGCAATGACTAATTTTGTATAGGTAATACTCACGAAAATACGATCTCAGACTATCAGATCATCGATGTCCTCAACGACCATCTGTGCTACGTGATCACAGATAAGAAAACTCCATGGCATCTCCCCTTCCGACGTTCGTTCCGGTTGGTTAGCAAGGTTGTCATTACATTCCAAGCCAAATCGAAGAGCAAGCTTGCTATTTACACGAAAGTCGAGTGGCTGTGGTCTCCCTACGGCCTCAAGAGTGAGTCCTTCCTCCCACCTCTCCCATTCGAATAGAGTATAATAATCTAACCCACCTAGATGTGATCGACAAAAAAGCAAGTCAGGATCTAGAACAAGACTCCTTAGATCTTGTCGACCTAGTCAGCGACCAAGTACGCCGATTGGGGGCACACAGTCGCACCAAAAAAGCCATCACGATTTTCGGTCACGTTGGACGCCAAAGCCAAGTCTCCCAATTTAATGGCGCTGGTTCCAACCCAAAGCTCGACCCCCGCAAGCCTCGAAAACAGCGTGCCATGCACGAGCTTCTTCTCGAGACCTTGTTGTCATTCCTCGAAACTAGTGTTTCCTTCCTAATGATGTGGGCCTTTAACATAGTCCGCTGGTCTTGGAAGACAGTGAGTGCACACAAGATCATTCTGGTCATGCTGGCTATAAGTGGAATTCTGAATGGATACTATTCCTCACGGGATAGTTGGGACTGGTGGCACGAGAGACATGCAGGAAACTTTATGGCACGGCTAGGCGTACAGCCAAACCTCGTTATGAGCAAGTCTATCTACATGCGGGATATTGATGATGCAGTTGCAAACTCCACAATCTGGCGCGGTACCGAAAACGCCAGCGATTGCTTTGCTACCTTCCGCGAGCAGACTATGCGGTATTCCGAAATGCCTCTGTCGCTCAGTACATCGAGCCCCCGGGATGCATTGACCAAGAGCGCCATCAAACGCTTCCAGCAAACCCGTGAGCGTCTTGGCATGTATCGACACAACCTTCTCGTCGCATTGCGGGTTGTGAACAGCATCGAGAAAGAGGTCATTCAGACTGAATGGGAGCGTTGGCTTCGCGAGGAGATCCGGCGCTGTCGCCAGGTCGAGGTTCTCCTTCGCGGAGAGGCCACCCAGAGCGATAACTCACAGACGGGCGAAACGGCCAAAGCTGAGCGTGTCTTTGCCGAGCATGCAGACAACATCAAGCAGTGGTATGAGGAGTACTGCTCGAGTTGTCAAATGGAACAAGAACACGTCATATTCAATGATCATGGTGACTTAATTCCTTGATTTTCTTCCTGCTGCTGTTTCTAGCCGTCTACTTGAACATATCGTCAAGCTTTCTGTACAGCCATTTAGCATTTCTTGCTTCTTGCTTATCACTATACCCGGTAGCTAGCTGATCATGTGTCAAAAATTTAATTGTGTATAATTTCGGTGCATATTATGCAGCTCGTTTGGCATATGGATAATGTCATTTCACTGCTCTTTTGAATAAGTATTCGTCACATCATGTCGTTAACCCGCGGGGGGTAAGAATGCAAATAGGTATTATTGTGTACATATGAGGACCATCCAGCTCCGTGCCCTCAGTTCTGCCTCGGCTTCACCTCGCCTTCATGCACAACATAATATGCCACCGTCCCGTCTCCACCCATCCCCTTATCCACCATAGCAAGCAAAACCCTTTGCGAGCCCCATTCTTTGGTCAAACGAGCCTTCTCCTTCTTATCATAGTACTGAGCTAGCTTCTCTGACTTTTGAGAATCTAGACCCTCTGCCTCGGGCTGCATGCTTGTGGGATCGACAGATCGATCATGCTCTGCAGCCTTTTGCTTGAATTCAGGAAGCCGGTCAAACACAGCAGCCATATGGCGCAAGGTCCATGGCTGACCCTGCGTAGTTGGGACCACGAACATGCGCTCCGGCTCGAGGTCGTCTTCGCGGATCCCGTTTTCTAGCATGTACAACTGCTCGTCTGGATGTGTGTACACGCGGTGTGGGGGGTAGCCGGAAAGCAGAGGAATTGGTTCTTTCGGTGGTTGGAGGGGGTCTTTGCTTAATGTGTTTGAGTCATCTGCTTGTCCAGGAATGATATGCCCCATTATAGAGATCCAGAGGTGTTGGTGCTCGAGGTTGTGCTGGACTTGCGCGGATGTTGCGAGGTGGGGGGACTGGTAGCCTTTTTCGGCGATGTGCTCGGTGATCGCCGATGCATTGGGCCGAGTGGTAGCTTCCTGTGTGTCTGCCATCATGGATATTTTGGAGCTTTTTGTCTTGTAAGGCTTAAACTGAGGGAGCTCCGGTCGAGAACCCACAAATCTCGGGATTTTTGCGGCTTCACCGCCCAGATAAACCTGATTATACTGACACCGCTTTCCTTAATTGGATTGTATAGTTGAGATAAGAAATTTGCAAGTTGCTAGCTTATATGAGAGATTTAAGATGATAATGTGAGTGTCGGGTCAATTCTTCCTTTCATCTTGAGCTCAAGAAAAAAAATTAAAAGTAAAAAAAAATTAAAGACATAAAGACATGTGGGGTGGAGGATCATAGACAAGGCGAAGTAAGAACACATGGCATCTTGTTATTCCTTTGGTTTCAGGTTCAGGAACCTTTAACCCTCGTGACAACTTGGGACTATCCTCGACACAGTGCCATTTTCCAAATTGCGCATACTTTAAATTGCCTTTTGTTCGATTGACTTGCATTTATAACTTGAATCCCGCCCCAATTTGTCGCAATGGGACGACAAAAGCAAGCAGCGCCGCTCCAGAGAGCCCCCTCTTCTCAATTAATGAACCTCACAGAAGAGTCCGAGGTGCCACAAAATTCTGGAAGTGGGAATACAGACACACCTTCCACCGCCAATGGAAGCGTGTCTGAAAAAGCATCGGCAGCCCTGGAGACAGTCGCCGACACCCCTGGGCTGTCGCAACTTGTGGTTTGCGTTCTTGGTATATATGCGGCATTGTAAGTGCCTCGACCACATTTCGCCTGATATCTGAGATGGATCAACAAGAAACTGATAACCAAAAAGCCTCTCATGGGGTGTGCTACAGGAGGCAATCACGACGACCAGCTATCCCGTTCGTCCTGCAAGCGCCGCGGAGCCAAACCCTCCAACTGAGCGATTCACCTACTCGCTGGTGTTGAACACGGTCCAATCCTCCTTCGCGGCCATCACCGGCTTTACATACCTTCTGTTCTCTACCCCGAGTGGCCAAAAGATCCCATCTATCTTCCCCACACGCCGGATCCTCTTTCCCCTGTTTCTAGTCGCAGTCTCCTCGTCACTTGCGTCACCCTTCGGCTACGCCAGCCTCCAACACATCGACTATCTGACCTTCATCCTTGCCAAATCATGCAAGCTCCTCCCGGTTATGGTCCTGCACCTGACTATCTTCCGCAAGAGATACCCACTGTATAAGTACGGTGTTGTCTTGATGGTCACGCTCGGTGTCGCAACTTTCAGTCTGCACCACCCAGGAACTAGTAAGAAGGTCGCTGCCAAGGATCAGTCTGGATCCTCCGGCTGGGGCATCTTCTTGTTGTCCATCAACCTCCTGTTGGATGGCCTGACCAACACCACGCAAGACCACGTCTTCTCCTCGCCTAAGCTGTACACCCGTTTCACCGGACCCCAGATGATGGTCGCTCAGAATGTTCTCTCGACCGCTCTGACTTCTGCGTATCTCCTGATCATGCCGCATCTCTCACAAAGCGGGATTTTGCATAACCTCCTACCCCTCCCCATTCCCCCATCCAATGAGACTGAGCTGTTTGGTGCCGTCTCTTTCCTCTCCCGCCACCCAGAGGCGCTGAAGCATGTCCTTGGGTTTGCGGCATGCGGCGCGGTTGGTCAGCTCTTCATTTTCCACACTCTGTCTCGCTTCTCTTCACTGCTGCTTGTCACTGTCACCGTTACACGCAAGATGTTGACTATGCTCCTCAGCGTTTTCTGGTTCGGCCATTCTCTGTCTGGTGGCCAGTGGCTGGGGATCAGTCTGGTCTTCGGAGGCATTGGCGCCGAAGCAGTGGTACAAAGATCAGAGAAGAAGGCGAAAGAGCGGTCGAAGATTGAGGCCGCGAAGAAGGAATTGTGAGGTGTTATACTAGGCTCTATAGATAAGCTTTCATCTGAAGAGCATTTAGATTCCCAAAATATATAAAGCACAAGTTACAGCCCTTGGGTGGCTTATCTTTTCACATATTTTCTCGGGTCTCTTGGTTTTTTTTTGAGGTGGGTGTTTGTCTTTCAGAGGTCGTAAGTAATGGGAAGAAGCTCACTTCCGTCCCTCGACCATGATGATATGATATCCAAACCCAGTCTTGACTTCAGCATACTTGGGATTTCCCGTCGTGCTAGTTTCAAGCTCAAAAGCAACATTCTCAAATGCAGGGTCCAGCCCGCCCTTGGTCTTCCATCCAAGCGAACCTCCTACAGAAAGAAGTCAGCACTGCTCGATTCGTCCCGCAGAGATCTACTTACCCTGTCTAGCCTTATCCTCCGAGAATTCACGAGCAACCTCATCAAACTTGGTACCGTTGCGAAGCTTCTCCAGGGCTTCTTCTTTCTTGGCGTGTTTCTCGCACTAGACATCATTAGAATGAGCTATATAGCAACCATTTCCCCTGTCCACAGGATCTGGTAGTATATTGGCCAGATTCCAGCACCATAGGCAGAGGATCCGAAACAGGAAAGAGAAGAGCAAAAATACATACAAGAATGTGTCGCACGTTAATCGACTGTGCGCCTTTCACAGCTCCTCCCTTTCCACCTTTGCCCTTGGTGTCATCGACGGAGGCATCTTTGCCCTTGCCCTTGGCGGCTTTAGCGTTGTTCTTGGGGGCCATTGTGGATAAGAGGTTCAATAATATGTTGTTATCGCTGTCTCGACCGTTGGTTGTTCGGATTGAGCTGATGTGGGGTGGGATATCGCTGCCTGAGGTTGTAAGGCAGAAAGGCTGTGTGTGACGTGGAGGTGTATTGTAGACTTTCTACTACTCTAAGGGGTTATGTATGGAATTATCCCGGTTTAAAAGTTGCAATATCTTAGCTTTCTGGCAAAGAATTCGTTTTTTCATCTTTTCTTTGTCTTCGTCAACACTCAACACTGCCAAATATCCAATCCATAGCCATTGCTGAGACCAAATACCACTGAAGTCAACAAATATCGGGGAACTAGGAACAATCCAGTACCAGCTCGAGCTTGAAAAGCAAATGGGATTCGATCTTGAAGCTGTACGCATCACCGCGTTGCCTGAGGATGCATTCTATATTTCGGACTTCATTACAGAGGACGAGGAGAATTGGTTACTTCAGAAGGTTAGTGACAAGGATTTTCTTATGAGCATGTGTTTAGAGACCTTGCTTTACGCCATTGATGTCAAATATTGGACGAATATATGTGCTTTGCATTATGTCATTTCTCTTCAACAATCTGTAGATGCTGCATGTCACCTATTCATGCTCAGACCTCACTCACTGCAATAATCCACAGGTAAAATCAGCGCCGCTGCCACGTTGGACCCAGCTCTCGCATCGCAGACTTCAAACATGGCCATCAGCCCTCACCAAAAGTAATGCGCTTCTCGCATCGCCCCTACCAGCTTGGCTTAGATCACCGATTGTCGAGCCGCGGTTTGAGGCACTGCGTATCTTCAACGATGCGCCACACCAGGCGCCCAACCATGTCCTAGTAAACGAGTACCAGCCTGGACAGGGGATCATGCCACATGAAGATGGAGCAGCGTACTATCCACTCGTTGCGACAGTGAGTCTAGGTGCACCAATTGTGCTCGATGTGTATGACAAACATACCCAAAGCGACAGGGGAAGCGGTACACAAATCAAGGCCGGAAGAGATGTTGCCGGGATGCTTGAAAGAAATCAAAGACCTCAATACAGGGTCTTACAGGAGAGACGGAGTCTGTTGATCACGAGGGGCAAGATGTACACCGATCTTCTGCATGGCATCGAGGGAACGACGAGAGATGAGGATCTGGGCCCCGACTCTATCTCCAACTGGGAGCTCTTGCGGGAGAAGGAACCGTACCAGAGCGGGTGGTATGAGCGGAAGACGAGGACTAGCCTCACATACAGGGACGTGCTTCAAGTTGTGAAGATGGGGAATACCTTGAAATTTTTAGGGAGGTAACGAGTACCTCATTTCCAAATTCCAATGCTTTTATTTATTTTTAGCTTTACCTTAGTAGACATAGGGAATCATAAGCCACCAGTCCTGCACCGAGTCTTTGCCAAACTTCTGCGCATACCACTGCTTGGTATTCCGAGCCGTGAGACCCAGATTGACTGCGACAAAAGCCAGGCAAGACAACATAGTTTTGTTGACCCATTCACCTTGCGGCGCAGCCAACAGCGCCAACGACAAGTAGACAATGCACTCTGCGCCGTAGTGGGGACAGACAACCCCGCGGAACATGGGATGCTCCGGTAGGGTGTATTTTTTCAACGAGAACAGGTAGTGATGGGAGTCGTGCTGCAGACCAGACGCCACTAGGAAGAGCGGGATGAGGAAGAAAGTACGCAAACTTGGAGCGTTGGTCATCTGCAGATGACCAATGGTCAGCTTTTCGGTCAACAGAGAGCCGGAACCCTCGATCCAAATTGCAACTCCTGCCGCTAGATAGAAACCCATGCCCAGCAACCAGTGTATAAACCACATCTGCGATGACGAAGGTTTTGCAAAGATAAAGGACTCCCATAGCCGCCGGAATCCCTGTATAGCCAACATCACACAGCATATCACCAATTGAGTCAGGGACATGGAGTGCCGTTGGTGGTCCTCGCTAACGCGGGATGCGATAGCCTGGAAAACTACACCCCGCGATAGCAATTGGGCCGCCCAGAAGACCGATGACAGGACAGATGCAACATAGAAATGTGTGAAGTAGCTATGTGGCACCTGCCAAGTAGCGAGATAGTCAAGGAAGCCCTTGCTCTTGGGGGGGTTCTGGGCGCGAGGTGGTGCAGAGCTAGTGGAGGTCGAGGCCGAGGTCGCGCGTGGGCCATAAGTGAGGAAGCGGGACCGCAATGAGGTTGGGATGCTGATCGAGATGGTCTGCATGGAGGGGTCGGCGTTAGTTGGGTTCATCTGCAGGAGGTGTTCACTATCACCACTATCACAGGGCGTATCGTACCGTGGCGGCGGCCAGCAGGAAGAACGCGCGTAGAGCATCCACGGCATCCATGCCGGTGGCTTCCAGGGGTTTATCGACCCATTGAGAGATTAGAGACATAGCTCTTGGATGAGCCCTCTTTTTTTACCCTTCTCTCTTTTTTTTTTTCTCGTTTCGTTTTCGTATTGTTTTTAACTCAGTATCATGATATCAGTGAGGTGTTTTAGGGAGGTGTTTACTGTGGAGAAAGCCAGCCCCCGCCGATCCTTCAGCTCTCGCCAACGGGGGCGTTTGGAGTTAGTTCGGCGTCGGGATTAACTTGGAGATTGGGGGCAATTGGGGTAGATAAGGATTTCCTTTCCATGTAATTATGAGTTTGTTCACATGTTTTTAAAGTTGTATCTATAGAAGTATAAGGACCTCGGGACAACAAGGCCATATGGGCTGACGCGAGTGGCAACTTCCAGGATTTTTGGAGGCAAATCCACTTACCTGCTTTGGGTCTAGTTTGACTCAGACTGTTTGCCCAGTTTGCAATTTCCGAATTAGGGTTAGTGGTTCGAGGTCTGTGCACCCCTTTTTTGGTCACGGTATCACGGTATCAACGGTATCAACGGTATCAATCATATCATCTCCCGTATGGATATTCACCAACAGGACATTCAATGGGAAAAACAAGAAAAAAAGAAGTAAAAATCGCCATCAAGAGCTCTAACCTCGACCCCTCTTAAGATACAAGCTTGTTTCCAGTAGTCAATATCCCACCTGCAGCTATGATTCACCGTGGCCAAAACTTGACCCAGTGAGGAGCCCTACGCCCAATCCAGTCCCATTCCTTTCCCTTCCCGCTTTTCCTCTTCCCTTCTCTTTCCTTCCCCCATTCAACTCTCAAAATACCTCGATTCTACCCTCGACCTATATACCTATACCAGTAAATCCAACGAATTTCCTCGACCATTTCGTATCGCTCTACCCCGGAGCGGTATTGCCCACGTTTCAAGACTCTCTTTGCGGGTGAAACCCGCAGTCGTGAATCGGCGTCCGCGCACAACTGCTGGCGTTGTCGACCACGGTCGTTTTGTCGGTCGCGTTTTCCCCCCAAAATGACGAGCGGCATTTCAAGTCTTCGAGTGCTATCGCTATGAGTGATGTCGAGGCAGTCTCTTTACCAGCTGCCCTGGACGTCGGTCAGAATAGGCTTGCTACGGTAAAGCCAGACCCCGTTGGTCCTTCGTCACCGGGCAAAGCTCGTGCAGACTCCCATCCACGAGTAGACAGAGATGGACCGACGCGTGTACATTCAGAAGGGGAGGAGGATGGGCCTCCTAGTCCTAGGGCGGATTCGGAGGCAGAGACAATAATCCAATCAGGTCGAGAATCCTTGTCGCCAGAGAAGAAAAGAAAGCATATCAAGCACGATCCGAGTCGTCATGAACCTAACGGAACCGATGGACACCAGCGAAAGAAACCACGTGTGTTTGGCGATAACCGTGAACGCGAACAGGAACGGAGCCCTCCTTCTCCAAGCCACCGAGCAATTTCGCCGTCGGAGGTCAAGATTGAAAAGGTCGATGATTCTCATATGTCAGAAACGGAAGGCGTTGCCAATGGAATCGCCCGTGCGTCAGAGAGACCTCGTGCTTTCCGTAAGCGAAGCTTCAGTGACAGTGCCGAGGAACAACGCGACCGTCGTCGCGCACACTCACACGCAGCATCCCATCCTGTCCGGGAACTTAAACATACCAATAATACGCGCCTCTCCAGACCACCATCAAACTCGCGATCGCTTTCACCCAGCCGACCATCTCACCAACGATCTGCTTCCGGCTCTCAGTTCCCGACAAAGAAAAAGGCACCAACCCCTCTGCTCACAGGCTCTGGGCGACATAGCTCCGAAGACAGACAATCGACGTCCTCCTCTCAGAGCGGTTCTCCACTGCCGGGGGCGCATCTGCGGAAGCTTGGCTCTGGAGTTGGTGCATCCGCGTCGCCTGCTAAGCAAATGGGACCGAAGAAGCTGCGTGACAAGAGCGGCAGGACTCCTCTTGCGCGGGCGTGCGCGGACCGGAAACACGATCAAGTGATGATGCGCCATGCCGAACGACCGGAAGACATTAATATCCCCGATAATGCAGGCAACACCCCCTGCAGATCGCGTCGCTTGCTGGAGAAGCCGAAATCGTCAAGTTCCTGCTAGAGGCAGGCTGCGAGATCAACACTAAAAATATTGACAAAGACACCCCGTTGATTGATGCCGTGGAAAACGGGAATGTGGAGGTGGTCAAACTTCTGCTTGATGCAGGAGCAAACCCACGAACTGTGAATGCGGAAGGCGATGAGCCTTATGAGTTGGTTCCGTCCTTTGTAGATGATGACGAATATGAAGAGATGCGGAAAGCGCTTGCTGACGCCAAGGCCAATTTGCGGCCTGGTCGACGCTCAGAGGAACATACAAGACCAGAGAGCAAGGAACCTTCTTCGCGACGGGCCTCAACAGCCAGAGTAACCGCAGCTAGCCCCCGAGATTCACCTCCGATGCGCAGCCCCCCTCCAGCTGGCGCGGGAAATCGACGAAAGGGTGGGCGAAGCGAAGCCACGAGAAATGACCTCCTGTGGACGAAACCCACATTCGAAAACCTTCGAGAATTTGCGGCTAAAGGCGATGAGGCTGGGGTGGTGAGCATTCTGAATATTTTGCAGAAAGCCGACAATGCTTCCTTAATTGCTGCGGCAAAGGGTGGCCACCACGACGTCCTTTCTCTTTTGTATGCAATGGGCAATGCAGATGCGGATCCAAACCCGTTGCGTGGTCAAAAAGCGGGATACAACACGCCCATGCTTGCTGCGATTGGCCGAGGCAACAGCGCTGTTATCCAGCTCATCCTAAACCAACCCGGATTCAACCCAACGCGACGACTGTTTGAAGATAGAACTTATTTTGAACTGTCTCGGGGTCGACAGGGCGAGAACTGGGAGGACGAGTATCAGATTCTGAAGGAGGCGTATGAAAGATTTGCAGGTTCTGACAAGGCTCGCAAAGACGACTCACCCCGCCGTGCTCGTGGGAAAGAGAAGGAGGAGAAACGCCCGCCACGCAGAGGTTCTTCCTCCCCTGTCGCACGCAAAAAAATCAACACAAGCCCCAACGCCAGCAGACATCGCGATTCTTTGAAAGACATGGATTCAATCAAAGAAAAGCGCCGTCAAAAAGAGCACGATTTATCACGACCAACGGATTCCTCTAAGCCCAAATCTTCTTTATCCGCCAGACGAGACAGCGAGTCTAGTGGAATGACACCCAACGAAGACATCCGAAAAAGACGACTCATTGCTGGACGTCGCCCACAAGAGCGTAGGCCAAGTCTCTTCTCGTCGGATTCGCTCTCTGGACGTGAAGAGGCACCGAAGCCGCGTGTTGATACCGCACCCGACAACACATTGTCTTTGAAGCGCATTCGCGCTGATGGATCCCCAGAACGATCTCGTTCACGTGGCACAGATGGTGATCGCTTATCTCCTGAATCGCGCAAAAAGAAGAGACGCGTTGTCTCCGAAGACAAGTCCTCTGGTGCTACACATGGTGCACCAAGGCAACCTGATGATGCCAGCAAACCCCATCCTCGCCGACCCCACGAGGAGTCTACTCGAGCTGCCGAACCTCAACCACACAAATCCACCGACGCCCCCAAGAAACCCCCAACCCGCCCAACTTCACCCCGTCATGATCTCGTTAAAAAGAATGGCGATAACAAAAAGGAATCGCACGAGCCCAGAGCCGACACCATGGAAGACACAATGGCCGCCGCGAAACGTATCGAAATTGAAGCCCATGAGCGTCGACGAGCCCAGGCCAAGAAGGCACAAGAGGAGCGTGCCGCGAACGAAAAGCGCATCGCAGACGAAGCCGAACGCGAGCGACTTGTCAAAGAAGAGGCCGAACGAGTGGCGGCTCAGGTTGCCCATGATAAAGCCGAAGAGGAAGACCGCAAACGCAAGGAGGTTGAACAACGACGCGCAAAACAAGCCGAAGATGATCGTTTGAAGCGGTTGGAGCAAGAACGCGCTCGAGCCGCCAAACTGCGGCGCGATCGGGAGGCAGCAGAGCATCGACGCCGTGAGGCACTTCCCAGTCGACTTCGTGTTGCAGCGAACCTCGTTGGGTCCAACAATCCCCGCGCGAAAAGCCATGACTGGCTCAAGTCTTTCATGCCTCTCGTTACTGCTCTCACCCGTCAACTCGATCCTAGCTGTGGTGTGGATGTCGCCGATGAGAAGTGGATCCCGAACTACCTGGTTGCGCCTCTTTTGGCTACTAATGATCTTCAGCTTTCGCAATATGCCAGTTGGGAGAAGCGAAAGGCGACACCGACTCAACGTGTGAATCTGTGGCGAGTCACCCGTCGCATGTTGACCCATACAGACGATGTTGGATTCCAAAGCTCGAGTATCGGACAGATCATGCAGAAGGATTGTGATACGCGCCCCAAGTATTTTGAGATGGAACATGTCTTTTGGATCCGAGTAAGTTTTCTTGAGCTTTACAAGTTATGCTCCACAACTAACAACTATCTCAGCTTTCTGATTTCACAGACCTCGTCCCACACATCCCTCACCTGCACGGCCTAGAACTGCAGTTCTTGAACATGCACGTCGATCCGGAGCCACCGACGGTTGACGCAGGATTTGGCGCTCCTCAACTGAATGGCCATGGCCCGGGATCCGCGGTCGAAACCAACGGGACCGGACTCCTCAATGGTTATGGCCCTTCTAGGTCTAGTACATACGTCTAGTTTTGTTTTCAGCGTCTTTTCGCTAGGGACCCGGCGCGATGGCAGCAATCCAGCGAAGCGATGTACAGGGCGGATTCTGATTGTACGATTATGATACCTCTTGCGTTCAGTGATGATTCTACTATTCTTAGGTAGTTTTACTGTGGACTTTTTTTGTAGTCACTGTGGCCGTGAATGTAATCATGCATCCCGTGTCAAATAACACCATGTTCAAACTCACTTTACCTTCTCGTAAAGATATAGAGATTTTTAGCAAGATAATAAATCCTAGAGATCTGAAAGATTAGATCAAAAACGTCATCAAACCGGGCATTGAATACCTGTTTCATTGTATAGATGTATATACATATCACGTGACTAAGCTTGCGGTGACCACATGACATAATCGTAGGGCACACACAGCCGAAAAAGTCGAAATAGCGGGAAATTTCAAGCCCGCCCGCACCACCTTTTAATTTCTTTCTCCAACAACTCTACTCTTCGAGGATCATCCGATTTCAAGCATAACAAGCAACAAAATGGTATGTTTCGTATCCGCGAATTACTCTCACATCATAACCACGCCCGCATCGGATCTCGTCACGACAATTGAGATGCTGGAATGGACATGACCGGCGAGAGCGATTGCGTCGCCGCGGTAGAGACTACCCCTCGTCGGCTGTCTTATCTATGCGGTGCACCGGTCCAGTCCAATTCCAAGCCTCAAAGAGTCACAACAACGATCCAAGCAACGTAATACTCAAAGGACACAATACTAATAATAATCCTCTAGTCGGACGGAGAAGAGCCCACATCCCCTATCGCCCCCGCCGAGGAGGTCGAGGTTTCTGCCGATGCCGGCAGCGGCCAGATGTCCGTCTTGGACGCCCTCAAGGGTGTTCTGCGCGTCTCCCTCATCCACGATGGTCTTGCCCGTGGTCTCCGTGAGGCCGCCAAGGCTCTCGACCGCCGTGAGGCCCACATGTGTGTCCTGAACGAGGGTTGCGAGGAGGAGGCTTACAAGAAGCTCGTCGTCGCTCTCTGCTCCGAGCACAAGATCCCCCTCATCAAGGTTCCTGACGGAAAGATGCTTGGCGAGTGGGTTGGTCTCTGTACGTTCTCCCCCTCCATTGATACGGAATATCTCTTTTGAGGGTGTATTTGCTAACGTTTTGTTTTTCAGGCACTCTCGACCGTGAGGGTAACGCCCGCAAGGTTGTCAACTGCTCTTGCGTCGTTGTCAAGGATTGGGGTGAGGAGTCCCAGGAGCGCTCCGTTCTCCTCAACTACTTCCAGACCGAGCAATAGATTATCTCTACTGAGCGGCTGTGAGTAGCAGGTCTCGTTTTAGGCGTCGGGGTTGACGTTGACTGGGGGGTTTGTAGTGAGGATCAAAGGAGGAATACATGAGGGATAGATCAATTGTTGAAACTACCAGCTGGACTCCGAGTGTACTCCCTGGGTTTGGTATTTGGTTGGCGGAGCTTTGTGATATCTCTGTTTGGTCTTTTGAACCTATTATTTCAAATCACCTAGTTTACAGCTGTGCCCCGTTTACTCGGGTTCGCGGCGCCAATGGCATCTGGACATCATGTCTACTTTGACAAAAGATAACTTAGGATGCGATAGCATCTGTGTGCCTTGTAAAATGTCTGGTCAGCTGGGTGAGTATATCTGTAGCGGTATTTCCATCACATCTCACCAGCGCAGAACAAACACCACATGCCGCAAGTGGTGTAGCAACCAGAAGACATCATGCTCCGAGCGTAAGCACTCAACACGCCGGGTCCTTGTCAGAAACCACCGCGATGTGATCACCTCTATAGCACTCTGTATACGGAGTACTTTAGGTAGGGCTGGAGAGTGGGTCCTCTGAGTCAGCACGGATTTCGCAACTTCCCAACTTCCCAACTCCGACTGTGTTTGAATGGACGAGATCTTGTCCCTCTGAGAGGGAAAGTCTATATATTTTTTTCTTTCAAAGATTTAACATTGGTGAGAGAGGTGCATATTGCCGTTATTTGTCATAATTGCATTAGTACCTAGGTACCTCGGGCGCTATATCATTTTGAGAGCATCCTCTCATATCCCAGTCCCAATCTAATTCCCAATTCCGAATCCCACCTGGCACCATGGAATCCGCTCAAATCCTAGGTGGGACCCCTGCGCCATATGGCCATGCATGTATGGGCTGTTCCCGTGCGAAGTGCAAATGCATTCTTCCTGCAACTGGTAGTGGCTGCGAAAGGTGAGTGGCGCTTGCTAGTGAGTGTGGAAATAGCCCGAACTAAGCACCGGGGTAGATGCCAGCGCCTGAGCAAGGAATGTCGGCCTGCGCAGACAGTCCGCAAGCGCAATAAGCTACCCTCGGGCTCTAATACTGCCAAGCTCGAGGCCAAACTTGATTGGATTATGTCCGCGTTTGAGAAGGGTGGTGTCAACCCCGGTCTTCCTCCAAATTGGGAACCCGTAAACCTAGGACGGAGTCAACAGAATGACCAAAGCCAATCTGCCCCAAGCACTCAAACCCTAACTAGTCTTTCTTCTCTTTCAACTGCCAAGGATGGACGGTGCCTTATAGACTTTGTACCCTCGTGTGATAGGGAGGCCTTGTCCCTGATCTACGTCCCGCCCGCCATGGCTCAGAAGAACCTCGACCAATTCCGCACTCGGACCTTGCAATATCTCCCCTTTGTCTACATTCCTTCTAATATAACCTCTGACCAATTGCGAGATAAATATCCATTCCTTTGGGTATGCATTATGGAAGTGACCACGGCGACAAATCTAGAAAAAGGCGACTCTTTCGGAAGAATTACCAACTATATTCATCAGAAAGTTATGATTGACGTTGCGCCGAGCATGGATCTTCTCCTTGGGATCATGACTTTCGTATCATGGTGAGCAGAAAATATACCCTTATTAAAACCAAATTACTCATTACAATTCTCTTTACAGCGTTACATACACTAAAAGACCGTTTCTCAATATCTATGCACACATGCTAATGGCAGTTGTTGCCGAGCTTGGGATCAACAAAAGTGAACAAAATGAGCATTCAGTCATGCATTCTTTCAAAATCGCTATTGGAATGAAGCAAACTCCACCCACAGCTAGAACACTCGAAGAGAGGAGGGCTGTGATGGGATGCTTTTTGATTTCATCATGGTAAATACGAAATATCCAGGCAAAATCTCTAAACAATAATTAACAGCTCTACTATCAGCGCCGCATTGGCAGTGTCTAGGATTGATGCTATGCGCTGGACACCGCACATGGAAGAGAGTCTTTCAATACTCGCTGAGGCTAAAGAGTGCCCCCAGGATGAGATCCTGATTATACAAGTCAAGATCCATTTGATCTTAGACAGAGTCTATCAACTGCGGCGGGATGGCGAGGCTTTTATCTCGCTAGCCTTCTACCTGGATACCTTCAAAAAACAATTAGACACAGTGAAGAGTGAGATTCCGCCTCACCTTCTACAGCACAGTAGGTTTCTATCCCTCTCGAGTCTCCACAGCCAGGACTAACAAGGCCAAAGGAGCAATACTGATGTATCTCTACAATGCCGAAATCATAATCAACGAACTATCAATAGAAGCTCCCGCCATTGCAAATTCGCCTGATCTCCATCGCCTCAACAGCCTTTACACCACCCTCCAAGCATCAAAAGGCTGGCTAGATGTATGGCTAGAACTTGAAGGAGAGGAGTATTTCCAGCTATCATGCATCATTTTTTACCAATTCACTCGAGCCATTGTCACCCTATACAAGCTCACCATTCTTGAAGATCCGGCATGGTCCAAGAGTATGGTCAGAGACACGGCAAATGTCCTCGAATACCTGAACAGAAACGAGGCCATCATCAGAAAGTGCCCAGGATATATCACTTTCAATGAAAGCGGGGAAATGAATCTCCTGGAAAAGGGATTGAGAATGATTCACAGCTTGAAAATGAACTGGGAACCGAAGTTGATGGAAATGTGGGGCCTAAGTATACCAGCGAACACCAGCGTCGATAGTGGCATGATTCAGTCTGATGCTATACTCCCTGATGTTATGGCTTTGGGCGAGATTGATGAGTCCTGGATGATGGACTTACTTGGGTCGTTGTGAATGTCCGTCTGTGATGCCCAAACTGTTAGAAAGTGAGACGGGGTTTAATAGGTTTATACATGATATCATATACTTGACCATACTATTGTGGTATTCTTGGAATCTTTCACAGATCTCCAATCCATGGTCCGCATAGCTGCAAGTTCTGCGGCTACGAAGAGGAAGACAGAACATATTTTCTATTTAGCCAAGCGCACTGGGGTCTGCATAGTTCAGCAAGTTAGCATACGGCTTTTTTCCCCGCTAAAATGCACATCGGAATGCACGCTAACGAAACACTAAGATGTTGGAGTCCCATGTGATTTTGCGCTACAGGCCACTTGGCCTATCCTTCAAATCATAACGGCTTGGTTGTGAAGCAACTGAGATATCCATTATTTTGCCCAAAGACTGACCATTCTCATTATGATGTCTTGGGATTCTAAGATAGGGGCCTTTGAAATGATACCCATAATTTATCTGGTGGTCATCACTGTAAGTGTTTTAACTCATTGCATATGAGTTACAGTACTAAGAATATTCCAGCTATTAGGATATCTTTTGTGGACCGTGGTTTACAACCTTTACTTTAACCCACTCTCGAAATTTCCAGGACCGAAACTTGCCGCATGCACCAATCTACAAGATCTATACTGGACATCAACAGGGCAGTATCACTACAAACTCAAGGAGCTCCATGACAAGTATGGAGATGTAGTTCGGACAGCTCCCAACTCTCTTGTCTATCGCAGTTCACAGGCATGGAAAGATATCTACGGACACCGGAAATCTGGAGCCAGGTCTTTTCTGAAAGACCCGAAATTCTACCTTCAGGGACCGAGAGGGCCAAACATTGTCAATGCCAACGACGAAGATCATTCAAGAGAAAGAAGATTGCTCTCGCATGCCTTCTCTGAAAAGGCCCTGCGCGAGCAAGAAGGCCTAGTTCAGTCATATGTTGACATGCTGGTGGAGCGACTGAAGGGGGAAATTTCATCATCGCGGGAAACAGTGGATATGTCTCAGTGGTACAACTTCACCACATTTGACATCATCGGAGACTTGGCCTTTGGCGAGCCCTTTGACTGCCTACGGGAAAGCCAATACCACCCGTGGGTCAAGATGGTCTTCGTGAGCATGAAAGTGATGGCATTATCACGACCACTGTTAGTCTATCCTTTTTTGGCACCGATTGTCAGGATGCTTCTACCAAAAAGGCTCAAGAAGATGCGAGAAGACTCATTCGCCTTGGCAACAAACAAAGTCCATCGCCGATTGGAGGCCAAGGTTGAACGGCCGGATTTCATGACTTACATCTTGCGATATAATGATGATAGGTCTATGACTATACGCGAGATGGAAGCAAATGCAGCTTTGTTGATCCTTGCTGGAAGTGAAACGACAGCCAGTCTACTCTCCGGATTCACCTATTATATCATGACAAACCCCTCGGCCTATCGGAAACTCGTGGATGAAATCCGAGGATCATTCAAATCTTACGAAGACATTGATTTCCAAAGAGTTGGTCATTTGACTTACCTGAATGCAGCGCTCGAGGAAAGTCTGCGGGTTTACCCACCTGTCCCGGCTATCATTCCGCGGGTTGTACCTAAGGAGGGTGCATTGATCGATGGGCAGTTCGTTCCAGAGAATGTATGTATCTACCTTCAAGTGTGGATCTCTATGTATATTGACATCAACAGGTTTCCGTGTCTGGGGCCCACTATTCTACCTACCATTCCGAGTCTCATTTTGCCGAAGCGGACTCTTTCATCCCTGAAAGATGGCTGGAGAGCAGAGACAAACGCTTCGAGTCGGACAGTCGGACAGCAGTTCAACCATTCTCGCTTGGGCCCCGTAACTGTCTTGGAAGAAAGTGAGTTTTGATTTTTGATATCTTCGGGGATCAGGCTAATTGTATCCATCCACAGCCTTGCCTATGCAGAAATGCGTCTGATTGCGGCCAAGGTCTTCTGGAGCTTTGACATGACCATGGAGGAGAATTCAACTGCTTGGAATATCCAGAAAGCTTACAATATTTGGGAACGCAAGCCATTGATGGTGAACCTATCACTGGCACAACATTGAAAGTGTTGCAAAATTAGCCATTTTTTGCATTTCGCTTAGTGTAAATGAGCGCTGTGGATTGCTATACAATGTACCTAGCTATAGAATCGCTCGCCACATTCGTGACATGAGACGAGGAACCATTGACTAACTAGCATGTCACTATCTGCTAATAAAAAAACCCTCGATATTGGATATGCCTGTAATTTATATAAATGAATTGTATTGTTGATTGGGACAGACTTGAGAGCACTTTTCTCAGATTATGTTCCCTCTGGGAGATCTGTGAATGTATATCTTGCTCAGGGCTTTGTTGTACATACATGTATAAGGTTGTCCTACAATAATTCGTCCTTATTATCTATACATGTGTGTACAACTCTGGAACTGAGACATCAATCAACGTTGGAACTGCGGAACTGAGATTGAGACGTTCGGGCATGAGCCAAGGTTGCACATTTGAAGGCAAAACTTGGATATGACCTTTTTTTTAATGATCTAACCCGGTAACCTCAGATCTGAAAATACACAGCGTGAAGCTTAAGTGAGCTGACCGTTGGGTTTATCGGTCTTTCCCGGTGATGCCGGATCTGTGGCAAATGGAGATATCTAGATCAGACGACATGCAGACTTGACAAGGGCTTATTCTTGTATTGCAAGCCAAAAGCAAAAAGGACACGGAAATAAGGTACAACTTCAAAGACAAACTAGCTCGCTCGGATAGCAAATTCGAGTATAAAGGTTGCTTCTCATCCAGTAGTTAATCTACTACTCACCATTGACTATTCCAAACAATCGCAATCAACAAAAAGAATGTCTAGTTTTCTCAATCTTCTTGCACTTGTGCCTCTGGCACTAGCTGTCACCCCGACCATGATGGTCCCTAATCAGGTACAGCTACGGCGTGTGTTTACAGCCCATCAATCTGTTTACTCTTTATCTAGGTCATGATTTTCAAAGAAAACGACTTCGCAATGAATGCCGGCCGAACAGGAATGCCCATCACGTCTGATGGAAATTGCATGAATTTCGACAACATGTCGGAGTAGTAAGTTGAATATTCTTCGCATACCCATGAAGTTTTGTTAACCAAGTATCAGCCGCATGAATGTTGGATCAATCTATGTCCCATGCCCGTCTGAGGTCAAGCAAGACATGATGTGCTCATTCTACTCGTAAGCAAATAACGTCTAACTACAAGTGTCTAGTGCTAAATCATCCAGCGACTACTCTTGCAACAACGAGCTATTCACCTTTACCCGACCCCATGCGAATTTGCTCAGACGAGCCGTTGGCGATGGTGTTGGCAGACATGTCAGAAGCATGAAATGTGCGATGGTCCATTCCCCTGCCGACAGACGAGGACATATCTTCTCAAGTAATCATGCGTCCACCAAGAGTCCAAGCAGCTGCCCCAATGACAGTTGTTCCGGTGAACAGAACTGTCAATCAACCCACCCGGATTACGGCATGTACTGCTCTTCTAGCTCAAAGACCTGCCAACAAACTTCTGTAGTTGGCGCTCTTTGCAGGGAAGATGGCCAGTGTGTCAACAGTCATTGCCAGAGTGGAAAGTGTATGGCTGCCGCAGAGAACCTGCGTTGCGCGCAGGGCTCTGAGTGTCCTTCTAGCCTGAGATGTCGTCCTACCCGTGTTCTCAACTTGCTTGGGGGTTCCAATGTTGAAATGATCTGCATGAAAGATGAGGATGTTCGCGGCACCCAGTGCTCTGCTGAAAAGCCTTGCCCGGCGCATATGTCGTGCAGTCTTCAACATGAGACTAACGTGTACTGTGAGTGGGATGGTACCTGTGGATTGAATAATATGAGTTGTATGTCGGGCAGTCAATGCTGCTCTGGAGTCTGCAACACCAATTTATGCCAGTAATAGTCTTTGTGAAGGATGTCAAGCTTGGAGGAAATGGTATTCAAATTGAAAGCCCTGGAGGAACTGGATACTAGCTGGTAGTGCGCGAGTTGGCCGAGGATAATTGATATTTTAATAATAATGAGAAAGTTTCTCTCTGACCGCGCTCTGAAGTTGGACCTCCCCTCTTAAACCTTTCTAGACACGCTCGAAGAGATTACCACACAGATATTTATAGAGATCTCAACTTATCCATTTGATCAGATGTATAGAGTAAGAATGTTTGTCAAATCTCAGCTAAGCGTTATGCAACAAACTTGTTTGAAACTGCTTCCTAGTCCTTTCAGGGACACAGCCGCTGAATTATTTCCAATGCATCCTCTCGAATCCCATGGACAATATCCCCAGCACCTTTCACATCATGTATCAGTCCAACGGAGGCTCCTGCATATGTCGCAAGTCTCCCCTCGGGTCCCCAGCCCTTATCACCCGTCTTAGCAGCTTCATCATGAAGTCTTTTTAGTTCCTCAAACGACTTCCCTTCCTGCTGCTCAACGAATGATTTGTTTATTATAGTCCGGGGACTATATTCCTCTGGCCACCCAAAAGTGCCCCTGAGTTGATTATATAGTAACGTACGTGTGGTCGAGACTGCACCATCGGCTGCACGTACAACCTCGTCCTGGTAACCCCGGCTAATACGTGCTTCACTGGCAGCTAGGAACCGAGTCCCCATCGCCACACCCGAAGCTCCGAGGCACATAGCTGCTGCAACACCGCGCCCATCTGCAATTCCACCAGCTGCAAACAAAGGAATTCGGCTGCCTGCCATAGCATCTGCCACTTCGGGGAACAACGCCATAAGCCCCATTCCATCCTTCGCCCGACCGTGGCCACCAGATTCAGCCCCTTGCACAACAACAACATCTGGTAGCTCAAGGTTTCGAAGTAGCTCCTTTGCCTCCTTCACAGTGCCAATTTGAATCCAGATTTGGGTACGGGGGGATACTTGACGGATCTTGCTAGACCAGTCGTCGTATTCCTTGGGTCCCTGTCGTGGAGCGTACAGCCAGGCTGCACATGGTTGGTGCTTCTTGATAGCAGCAACGGCAACATTAATGTCATCAGCCCAGAGTTGGTATCCTATGCCGATAGGTAGTGTCGAGCCGGGAGTCGGTACTGTGCTAGCCCCTTGGCGTATGAGCGATGATGCTTTCTCGAGATCATCACTGGTATCCTGTGTTTTGGCACCGGGGCCAATGAACCCTAATCCACCGGCGCGAGAGACGGCTACTGCCAGTGCTGGACCCGACATGACTTTCATGGGGGCGCTGACCACAAATGGACTAGATACCCATGGGTATCGCGATACTAAGCTTGCCGCCATGGTTTTGGTGCTCAGATGGATGGCGAATATTTGGATAACGTCGCAATAAGATCAGTGGTAATTATTATGCGACAAGACGCATGGGAAGAAGTTCAACGTTTGTTTTGAATGATGTTTGGAGTTGCCAAGGCATCGTCGACGTCACAACAATCCGCACCTCCGCAATATCCGCGTTGCTTGCTACTATGTGGAGTACTACATACGCAAACAATAAAACTCTTGAATTGGGGCTTTACTGTTATGTCTAATTGTTCTGTTTTTCGTGTCTGCTTAGAAGATCATTTCTACCGTTGGATTAGATGGTTTTCTAGTAACTTCATTGAAATGAGCCGGTCGTATGCCCTTAGCGACACCTTCAGAGACAGCCACTTGGCTGAATACTCCATTGCAGTAACTTTCAAATGCTTTGGGCAAGACATACGGAAAGCAGCGTTTGAGGAATAGTAGATAAAAGAATATGTCTGAAACCTTTGAACTATAGAAGGCCTCAGGCATCACATGAGAGACCCGCAATACCCACTGGTTGATCTCCCCACTCATCTCCTCCGCAATACCCTGCCTGTCCTTCATTCTAATCGGAAATTGCGGGATCTCTAAAGGACTTATTGTTCTAAGATATGTCGCAATCCGACTTGAAACGAAAACGGGCCCGAATTGCATGTGAACCATGTCGGGAGCGCAAAAGAAAATGCGACGGCGCCGAGCCTTGCAGTACTTGCCGTCAATGGGGCTACGATTGCCACTACGAACGTCAGACACGACGGAAGCATCATGCTCCCCAACAAGAGCCCCCAAGAGAGATACCCCCAGCGCCAAGGCCTCCACAGCAGGTTGACTCGGTGGATACGCACGGGCTGGACCGTCGATTGTGGGCAAACTCCGGTGCTGCATTTGTTCGGAGAATGGGCCTGAATATCGATCCTGCCAAAGCACCAAAGCTCAGCCTCTTTGGTTGGAATATTGGAAAGCGACAACTGTCATCCGAGTCTCAGGTTGTCCACCCTGTACTGTCAATCACGGATATCGCATCCCTTGAACACATGAGGACCCTCGCTCAGGTCTACTTCGCCAAGATTGGTCCATGCTATGGCTTTATTGATTCTTCTCAATTTTTTGAGCGACTGGATGCTAGGTGGAAGTCTCCTATGGTTAGTTGTCTATATGACAGTGTTCTCGGTGGCGTTGCTGCACTAGGTTGTTTGTTTTCCCAACGACACATGACTATCACCGAATTACATCTCATCGGATCGGCACTTTCTATTCTCGACACGCACGTTCTGTGTGGCGTTCCTCCGGTGGACCTTCTCACTGGGTGGATGTTACGAGTCATCTACATGCGAATGACAGATCTGCCCCACTCAACATGGATGGCGAGTTCGAAGTTGATGCATCTGGTGGAAGCTGCGGGATTTCACCTCGAGTCTACCGATTCGGTCTTTCCACGCAGCATTGACACAGAGTTTGATCCAAACCTCCAAAGACGACTCTTCGGCGTGGCAATACATCTTAATTTGTGGACTTCCTATGATCTTGGTTTATCAAGAGTAACCTTCCAAAAAAATGATTTACCATTGCTTCCATCAACCATCGAGGGTGATTACACAGATGAGTTGCTGGGACTTCTTTCATTATCGGCAAGCCTAGATCCGGGGAAGCCAAATGAAGATGAGATGAAGCTTGAAGAAACGCTTTCCCAGATCCTAGAAAGAATTCATAATGAGCCTCCCTCGGCCATGGCGCAATGTAATCTTGTGCTTTGCATTCTGCGCAGAATACACACACAGAACCTTGAAATATCCCCACGCCTCGCAGAAAAAGCCTTAGCGTTGCTGAAGAAGGGACTTGGTTGCTCACGCACTATGGTCAGAGACTGCAGTCCCTGGCAACACATGGCAAACGTACCTTTCCACATCATATGTGTCTTGCTCGTGATGGACACACGGCAATCACTAGCGATGCTACCCGAAGCAATGCAGACATTGAAGCTCGTTGCATCCACCTACGATACCAATACCATGAGAGAAGCCTGGAGTGCGGCTCTCTTGCTAGTTATGCTTCATCAACAGCGGAGGAAAGATGACATTGCGATCTTCAATGACATAATGAACATGGAAGAGCAAGAAAGTCCAGGTGGACGACCCGTGCAAGAATTTCCAAGCGCCGAAGAGTATTCATGGCTAGGGGCTTTGGTCTCTGATCTGCCGGGTTTGCAAAGGGATGACCTTGATCAATTTCTGAATGCGGATATGCTTGATACTTCAAGTTTCTTGGGTGGATCTGGATGAGGTAACGCTTACTTAGAGGCACCTAAGTTCCTGAGAAATATCGATGTTCGTTTGATTATCTTGCGCTTTCGCTTTGCTTTAAACTTTCCAACTGACGAGTAGGATGTTACAAAGCCTTGCGGAAATAGCGGGTGCCGTGCTGTGGCTGGTAAAACTCTCCGTTCCGCAATACCCGCTTGTACACATTGGAAGTCCACAAAAGTTCCGCAAAGCTATTTGTAAAAAGGATGTAAAGATTTGCTACATATTAGTTTCAATGTTTTAGTATTCCACCGGAATACAAGCTCGACTTCATTGACAAAACGTGTCTGCGTCGCTGCTCTATCAAGTTCAAAATGCACGAGAAGCCATTCAATGGGGCGAGCAACGCACTTCCGACTCTTCTTTCCAACTCAGCAAGCTACGTTGATTTTGAAGGGATCGATGATCCCAAGCATCCTCAGAATTGGAGACTGTCTACGAAGTAAGCCAGGAGTCCAAATCAGCCAAGGATTTAGGTATTCGGAATACAAACTGACCACACTTTCCACAAAGACTTTTCAACTCTATCTTAGTCTGTTCAGGGACATTCATCGTCTCGCTAACAAGCGCCATCTTCGCACCGGGGATCGACAAAGCAAGCAAAGCTTTCGGGGTTGGGTCAGAAGTCGGAACACTGGGAACAACCCTCTACGTCCTGGGCTTTGCATCAGGACCCCTAATCTGGGCACCTGCATCAGAGCTACGAGGAAGAAAATGGCCACTGACAATTGGGATGTTAGGCGGTGGAATCTTCACTATTGCATCGGCGGTGGCCAAAAACATCCAGACCTTGATCATATGCCGTTTCTTCGCTGGAATGTTTGGCGCAAGCCAATTGACTGTTGTCCCAGGTGTACTGGCTGACCTATACAACAACACCACTCGCGGCGCCGCAATTTCTCTATATGCACTGACTGTTTTCGTGGGACCGTTTATGGCTCCTTTTGTGGGTGGCTTCATTGCGTCGAGTTATCTTGGCTGGAGGTGGACTCTTTACATCCCAGCAATCTTCAGCCTGGGAAATGGGATATTGAGTGTTTTCTTCTTGGATGAGACATATCCGCCTTGTATTCTCGTGGTCAAGGCTGCTGCTATCCGCAAAGAGTCCCAAAATTCGAGTATTCTTGCCAGACACGAGGAGATCGAGGTCAACATCGCAGATCTTGTGGAGAAGTACTTCACGCGTCCATTGAAGTTGCTCTTCACGGAGCCTATTATCCTCGTGGTGTCGGGTTACATGTCCTTCATCTATGGCCTTGTTTATGCGCTTCTTGAGGCATATCCTTTCGTTTTTGAGCATGTATACGGAATGACGCCTGCTTTTGCTGGTCTAATGTTCATTGGGCTCATCATCGGCGTGGTGCTCGCGTGTGCGTTCATTCTTTTTGGGCAGCTGGCCTATGCAAGGAAACTGGAAGAGAATAAGGGAATCCCAGTTCCCGAGTGGCGCCTCGCTCCAACACTCCTAGGAGCGCCTGTTTTCACAATTGGTCTCTTTTGGTAAGTAAATTGATTTTATATCGGAGTAATGTATAAAATGCGCTAACTGGAAATCCATCAGGTTTGGCTGGACCGGGTTCACTGCTTACATTCACTGGGCCGTACCTGCTGCTGCCGGGATATTCATCGGGTTTGGGGTGCTATGCATCTTCCTTCCGTGCTTCAATTATATCGTTGATGCATACTTGCCAATGTAAGTTGCCTATCTACTCGAAGAAATTCACATTGAGAACCACCTTGCTGACATACCCTGATATAAGTGCTGCTTCGGCTGTTGCTGCCAATATCATTCTTCGATCGGCAGTAGCTGCAGGCTTCCCGTTATTCTCAAGACAGATGTTTCAAAATATGGGAATTCAATGGGCTGGTACGTTGCTTGGCTGTTTAGCCGCAATAATGATCCCTATTCCGATCATATTCAGGGCTTATGGACCTTGGCTACGAGGGAAAAGTAAAGTATTTCCATAAAGGTTCTATAGGGTAAATAGATGAAATGACTTCGTGGGTACTTTACATGTTAGAGAGTAAGCCGTAGCTGTTACCAGGACCATGAGCAATGTAGAATACAACTATGATATTGGATGAACTCAACCACTTGACTTCAAAAGTTGCCTATACATAAACTCCCCGTTTCTCCGTCCCGCTTATTCGGGGTTATTATCAATCGAACTGTCCACAGCCCATCCATTGAGCATAGTGTAATCGGAATACGGCGAGGTTCCATGCAGGGTTTCATAATGCTTGCGAGGTCCACACTCTCTCAACTTGGCAGAGTTTGCGTTGACGCACCGGTGCTGCATGATAGCCGCGATTTGTCGGCCCGCGTCCAACCCTTCATAGTACGCACCGTGAAGGAAGCCAAAGAAGGTCGGGCTGGTAGCCTCACCAGCAAACCAGAGCCGACCAGCGTTAGCGCGAAGGTTCTGGTGCATCTCTAGAGATGTGGCAGGAGGCCAGTTGGAGTAGCTGCCGTAAGCCCAGGGCTCTGAGGTCCAGCGTGGGTACATGAATGCGGTGGGCTCGGGGATATCCTTCTCCGGGAACATCTTGCGCAGAACTTCCATTGCTTCCTTCTTGGTCTGCTCGTCTGTTTGGCGCTCGACTCGATAGGCAAGCTCGTTGGTCACGGTTACGAATATGATGTTGGAATCGGGGAGGAATCCGGGAGTGGATAGTGACTGCCAGACCGGGTACCAGCCACGGGTTACAGGATCCGCGTAGAGGTGATATTGTGTTTCTGAAGGCCAGAAGGTCTCGTTGAACTGGAAGAAGATCTTGGTGTACGTTCCCATGGTGAACTTCTGAATAGCTTCCTGCTTCCAGTCTGGGAGTGCTGGGGAAAAGCTGACAGCGCCATTTTGCAGAACTCCCAATGAGAATGTGGTAATAGCGTATTCTGCATCTACGCAGCTGCCATCTTTGTTGTGAACTGTGACACCATGGTCCGAATACGTGATATTCGTGACCTCGGTGTTCAAGTGAAGGCGGGGGTCATTGTCACTGAGGAAAGTTGATGCAAGCTTCTTAATGATGACGTTGAATCCACGCTGGTCAATAACGAAGTTGTCGTGGTCGCTGAAATAATTGAAGGTCAAGTTATCGCCCGCACAGCCGAAGACAAATGAGCTCTCTATTGGGGAATAAGCGGCCTCAAAGTCTAGTTTATGTGTTAGTTAATCGCATTAGGTGCATTTACAAGACAGATAACTTACCCCACGACCACCAGTCAACAGCCTGCGCTTCCATGTCATGTGGTTTAGGGTTCCAACCAGCTATGGCGAAGCCTGACTTGGCGTTTTGATCCTGAAGATTCTGGGTAAGAATCTCACCTGCCCTCTGGTTGGCAATATCATAGGCCTCGTCATAGGCGTTGAGTAGATCGCTATAGTCGGAATAGCCATCCTTGTTGTAGGTAGATATATTGTCGTAATTTGAGAATTCAGTGTTCAGTCCGTATTTTTGAGCCTGATCGAGGTCAGTTTGTATTTAATCGACGATATCTTGAGACTTACCAAGACCCAGATGGGGTTCTGCGGGCCTCCTTCGCTTCCAATACCTTGCACCTGTGTAATCTGTCAGCCGAGTCCATCCACGCGGTTGAGACATACATACCCAGTTGGCACCCATCTCAATATTATAGGGCTTCCCATCTTTGTCTTTGCCAAACGGCTTATGCCAAGCCCGACCGCCGATAGTATCGCGGTACTCGAGAATCACGAAATCATGCACGGAAGCATTCGTCAAAGCTTGCTATATAAATTGTCAATGACATTCCGATAAAAAAAAAAAGGAGGCCACCCACAGCAGCAGTAATACCAGCGACACCACCTCCCCTATTCTTCGTGAGTTTTGAAATCAATCAATAAGAGTTTCAGTGCTTACAAGATCGCAACTTTAGTCTTCTTGCATGTTCCCTCGGTTCGAGTTTGGTGAGGCGCACCAATAACAGGCTGGATAGCTCCTGCTATCGCCAAAAGTGAAAGGTAATGCATGGTGAATCTCTGGAGATTGAAAAGGGGAACAATTGCAATCAATACTTCTTATATATGAAGGCTGTACCTGCATAGATAAGAGCCCGAGAAGATCTACAAAAGGCCATGTAACGATATCCTCGGTCTTTCCGCAATCGGGCAAGTACACGCGGGAAGCTAAGTGAAGCTAAAGTGAAGCATATAATTTAAAAAGTACCATAGAGGTATGTACTTCCGTATCTGCGGGGATATCTTCAATCTCCTTTTATTTTATTCTAATATCATCCCTCTTACGCTTGGAATTCTAAATTAAGCTGATATATCACTATATTCCCAAGTGTCAGATATACTCCGTTTGAGATAGACTAATCTATACATAACGTCTAGGGGTATTCGTTGCCTTATCTTCTAATCTGTTCATATCAAATATTGCCGGAGGCTTCCGTTGAAATTGTGCACAGGCAAAGAACTAGATTCGATTAGTTCTGACACTAGAGCCTCGGTAATCAGTCATACTTGGCATGGCTTGAAAGCCGTGTTGGAAGCATTGTCGAACATGCGATTGTTGAGGATCCTCTCTGAATAAGCTTTAGCAGAGGTTATTGGTTCCAACCTTGGAAGTTCTCGCTAATTCTCACCTCGATTTGAGATATACCATGTAAGCTCAGCCGAATGTCGTTGGCAAATAGAGTTCGCACTATTGTTGCTGGGGTTATTACACTAATAGAGATGTTGGGTCAGGCAATAAACAGTAATTGTTATTCCAGCAAGACCGCGACTCCGTGCTATAAATTGGGTGGTAAATAGGCCCGCCATTCCGGTTCCGGCAAGAAACATTCAGACTACAGAATACAGGACAAATAATACCATAGTCTGACCCAGATATATATAGCCCAGGACCATTCATGTCCGTCTTTGAGCAAAGGCGAAGTATCGCCAAATATATCATGACGTCTTACTGATCACACTGTATAAAGTATGCAGTACTATGTACTATGTACTAGATATGCAGAAGGGCCGGGAGTTCGCGAGGTATTGTATCATATCCATCGCAACACCATTACCCAACAGGAAAATGCGGCTGAGGTGAGTCCTTGCATTAAAATTGCCCAAGTTTTGACCGAAATACAAGAATTTTTATACATATGTTGTATCTAGCCTATGTGACTCGTCTGTCCAGGACCTACATGCATATATCATTGCATATTACTGGGTTGTGGGTCTCACTAAGACTGCATTTGTGACATCAACTGGTAGCTTTTCGATTCAGCCCCAGCCTTGCAGCTCAAATGTATGCAGTGGACATGGAAACGCCATTGGATGATCGGCTTCATCCAAAAAGCCACAGTTAGAGCAATGGAGTAACATTGCTGCAGTCTCCAAGGTTGGGTTTCGGAACTCCCTCTCAACCAGCCATTAGACCTATGCTAGGCGATCATGATCTACAATTTACCCCCAGCCCCCCTTCGCTGTGCGTGGGGTCAAGAAATTTACTCGTACTTCATGCAGCGAGCAATCTTGTCAAGGCAGGTGAGCTAAATAGGAAACCCCTGATCACGTTTCTCACGGTGATGTCAATTTGCTATTTCAGCAGATTCATTGAGAGATGATTGGTCAAGTTTGGGGGCTTCCAAGGGTTTGGACATGGCCAAACACTTCCGAGATCCTAGATTACCTCAATTGCCGTCTCAGTGAGATCGGAAGTTAGTTTTGATCTGATATATATCAAGATAACACATGAATAATGTGGGAACATGGGGATATTTGCGGCGGCTCGTGGGATAAGTGGAATTTCCTCATTTCTGGGGTCCATGGCAGCCAAAGAAAACATTTTTGTCCATAGATACAAAAACATATGAGACCAAACAGGTATAATATGACATAGTCGAGATTTCAGGAAATGGCAGAACGATTGCAGCATTTTGATGGCCACAGACCTATTCACAATAAAATGCAAAAAAAATCAAACGAACCAAACAAGAAGAACACCACCGAGCTATGCAAAGGGCCGTGTCAGATGCCATCTGACGTTGTTCCGAACGCCAAATCAGAGACACCAAAGGTTCAGATAGAGGGGGCCAGAAGATTATTCTGGGCCAAAACAAAGATAAGAAGAAAAGGATATGCACATAATGTTTCCTCTCAGCGGAAGGCGTAAGAAGGGCGGACCATTTTCGATACTTCTGGATTTAGAGAGAGTTGCTGATATGGCGAGCTTCCTGGGTCATAGTATAGGCCTTCGATGTGTCCGTCCTCGCGGCGAAGAGAAATGTAGTAAAATCCGGAAATTGTAAGACCTTGACGAGCATCGGTTGGGGTGATGAAGCATCGTTCTAGGGCATGTTAGCAAAAAGAACATGTATGGTAGAAGGATATATGATCTTCCGCTACTTACCCTTCCATCTCATCAAGATCCACCCCTTGGATAATTCCTCAGTAATCCACTTCCGACTCACAAGGTTCTGGGCCATCTCGGCATCTGACAAATCCTTAAATGGTTGCAGTTCACGCCAGTATGTGCTATCGATGTCTGCATCTGCTTTGAAGTTCTTCGTCTCAAGCGTGTGATTGTTGAAATCGATGATCTCACCCTCCAAGAAAGTCACAATGTGTGCATCGTGGGTGGGCGAGGTCTTATCAGGGATGTTGTAGGCCTCCATGGTGCCAGATAAAGTCATGTCGTCCTGGTTGATCTGGTGTATCGTGACTTTGACAGGCCAATTTTCGTCGCGGCTATTATTAGCTAAATATCGGCGGCCACTTGTGGTAGAAACGCTGACTCGGGTGGTATCACTTCCATTTACAATGACAGGCTCACTGGGAGCATGCGGACTAGTAACGCGTTGCGACAATACTGAACACCCAGCGCTGGCAGCTCGTTGACAGCCCGAAAAGGCCATTCCAGATCGAAGCCATGAGCACGCTGCAGGTGGTGCAATGTTGGGGGTGTATAGAATGAAATCTGTATCTCTCCAAGCCTTGTTATCCATCGATATGGGTAGCCGACTGTCCGCCACGGCAAGCATACTCTCTTCAAGGGAGTCTGAATACCGAATGCGATCGAGATAGTGTATGGTTTCCCCCAGTAGATTGGTCAGATAGGTATCTGAGTGTAGTTGGCGATGAGCGGTGGCACGAGCGCGTAGGTCATTGTGGGTAAGGTTGGTATGATGTGAGTCCCCGCGCGACGAAGGACGATAGCGGTATCCCCGAGATGCGACTGCGATCGTATTTTCGGCGTCCTCCTCTGGTGTGGTATCTGAATAGCGATCAATGATGTAGTTCTCCAGTGTGCGACTTCGAGCAAGCCGAGGCTGACGTCTTGCGGATTGTAACAACGCCGCCACTGCGGAGACCGATGTCCGAGCCCGGTTGCTACCTGGTAACGTCTCATACTCATGGGGTATCAGTTGCGCGGGGCCCGGGACCTCAGTTCGCGGAGGTCGCGCGGGGAGTGTATCACGACTTGAGATGGAATGGAGGAAGGGCTGCATCTGATCATCTTCTGACTCTTCGCGCACAAAACCATCCTCATCATCTGACCCGGGCGCCCATCCATACAACGATCGTGAGTTGGGCATTCGTCCCTCGTAATTCGGCATATCGGTTGATCTCTCCTGGCGGCGGACAATCGGGATGCGACGGTTGAGTTCAACGGACGTGCGCGGGTTGGTGGGATCATCCACCTCCATGCGATCCTCGTTTTGCGGTGGCGGATTAGTCGGATAACGACGGCGACGCTGTCGGCTCAAGGAGGGTAGTAACGGATTGAAGAGAGCTGGTCGCGATCGTAGGAAATTCACGTTGTCATCGTGGGCGTTATCGGTCTCCACAGGAGTGGGAATCGATCGGCGCGGAGGGTCAGGTGCCGTCGGAGAGAGTGGCGTGCCGTTCTAAAAGACATTAATTCACATATTATAGATGGATTGTGATGAAACTTACGTTAGGAGGCGGCATTCTGATCGGAATGCACCGTTTAGGAGTGTGCGGGATCGACGTCCATGCAAGGCTAAGAAACCAAAATATGTAACAAACACAAAATAAGTCTGGGGAAAAAGATGCAAATAGCATGTTGGGTTCATGTGGAGAGACCCGCAACATATGACGTTCTTCCTTTCAGCCGGGCTGGATTTCCAACTTCAAGATTCCACCTGAATTTCTTAATTATTCTTAATTATTCTATGCATATATATCCCTGAAACAGAACGTGGAGCCCCTGCAAAACATTACAAGATGCTGACTGCATCTAAAAAGCGATCTACCAAAGCCATAAAAAAGCCATAAAAAAGCCATAGAAAGAACAACTATGAAGCTTATATCGAGCTTAGCAAATTCCAAGCGAGTAGAACTCGAATCTCTATATGGGATTCTGGTTGTTAGCCCCTTTCTCAGCTCGTGAGTAGGAGCCCTTCTCAGAGTTAGCCGATTGGATTTAAGACTCTTAAGCACCATTGAGGATCAGGCTGTTGAAGGTACCTTGAATGCCCTATGAATTTGAAGTCCATATTTCAGTATACGTGAGCGTTTGCACGAGTTGTGTGTTGCATTGTTGAATAAAGCCATTTATCAACAATGCGATACCAAGTACAAAGGGAATTCTTTCTAGGAAGTACAACTTGGAACTATTTGGAAATGCCGTAAATCTTGTTCTATGATTCATATCTGACCTCCAAGGTATCCTTCTAATCAATGTAGCTGTATGTTAAATATCAAAGCCACAGTCTAAATTAACCAAAACTCTTTCAAGGTTCACAGATCATCCAACGACATCACAAATCAGGCCTTGCGTGCAGCGTTGCAATCATCGGCTAGCTGGACACATTGTAGGATTATGTTCCAGAAAGCATCTAGATCAACGCCCCTGGGAATAGCAACGCCTGGACCCTCAACAGGAGTAGCGATCGAGCGCCCCAGTTGACCTGTTGTGGATGCATCTTTCCCGTGCTGTCCATCCGTGACAATACTCACAGCAAAACGCTCGCCGCCTTTGTCATCAAAAGCAAGAGCTTGATCGGGGTGCGTTTTGGCAAAAGCTGGATTCAGTGTCGACAAGATCACGGCCACGGCAATGGGATCATGCAGTGGAGGCCCAGTGGTCAATCCAAAAGCTTTCTCATATGTGGTAGCGAAGAAAGTGAGTAGTGCATGCAATATCTGCCGAAGGATAGTGGGCTCCTCGGTCGAGTGGATCGAGCCATGCAAGATACGTGTTTGAATGGCCTGTGAGGCCAGGACCTGATGTGTAAGATCTAAACCGATCATAGTTGTCTTGGATGCAAGAATCGGGTTGCTGAAGATTGACTCTGAAGACTCCGGGTCACACTATATCATCGTGATTAGACGAGCCAGAGCGGGATGAAAGATTGGAAAACGTACATAGATGTTGAACTCAGCCCACGGGGTCACATTTCCAATCCTAGACTTCTCGCCTGCGAGTCTGCTCATGGGAGCATCGGTGAATCCTTCACCGATGGCACCACCCATAATGTTCAGCCCTTGGATGTGTTCAACCACCTCGGGGAATGTTGCAAACAACAATGCGACGTTAGTCAAAGTACCCGTTGCAACTACCCAGGGAGTACCCTTGGGCTGTGCAAGAAGAGCATCTCTCATGGCCAAAATGGCATTCTTATCGGTGATAGGTGGCCTAGTGGCCTTGGGAAGAAGGTCGGTCCCATCAAGACCAGATTCGCCTAGAAAGTGTTATTGAAACATTTCGCTCGTATTGCGAGGATTCCTTACCGTGAATATCGGGTGCATGAAGAGCAGGCCGTGAGAATGGCTTATTGCTGCCGGGATAAACAGGAATGTCAGGCTTGCCGATCGCCTCCAGAACGCTGCCGGCATTGGCCGTCGTCTTCTCTAACGATGCATTTCCATGGATAGTACTGATTCCGAGTAGCTCCAAAGATGGATGATGAGCAGCGATCAGAATCGCAAAGACATCCTATATCGTATCAACAAATGTCTCTCTAGAGTACATGTGTGCCTTTCAAGAGACTTACATCATGGCCTAAAAGCAGTCAGTAATACGAAGGCGAGAGGAACATGGTGGACTGACCAGGATCGCAGTCCAACCATAAGGGGATAGGTCTATCTTGGTTAACTTGGTCTAACATGATGTTTTAAGCAAATAAATACAATTGAGAGTCAAGGGGCCACTTAGGCACTTAAGTACAGTTGGCCATCTTAACAGATCCCCGCATCAATGGAGCGCGATAAGGCCTATCTTCTAGCCCTAAGCCCTATAATCCAAATTGGGCCAGGTACAAATCATTAACGCTTCCAAGGTTGATTCGTCCTGCTGTTAGCAGAGAACGCTCCCTTGAGAGATATTGAACCAACTTCAAAGCTCTATGAGATGAAATGAATGATCCGCTCCGCCCCGGTCTTCAGCCGATATCTCATCTCAAGGCTGGGCCGACAACCTCCAGCTCCAGATCCACCGCGCTGCCTTCCGCGACGACGCTTCAACCTCCTTCGCGTCCTTCCTCTCGACTCCGTACACAAAGAGACCCTGGAAAGGATGACCCAGACTATTTAAGCGACAAGGCCACCACTGCCCTGATCCGACGCGTCCTGTGCCCCCAAACAAGCAACCATGGAGCATCTTCCCCACAGCCTCCGGAAGAGCTGTTACCTCCCCTCACGAGCTCCAATGACGTCGATCGTCAACTCTATGCCCTTCTCGCCATCATAATAAAAGATTTTGTTTACTCGTGGTACTCGAAGATTACACCTGATCAGGCTCTTGTGAATGAAGTTTTACAAGTAATCGCGCATTGCACTCGTGCACTCGAGCAGAGGCTGCGCCAAATCGACGTTGCACAATTAGCCCTGGATGAGATCCCTGGCCTGGTGGAAGCACATGTACTCTGTGAGACTTGACCATTCTAAAGTTCTTCTTGCCGGAATCCATGGTTCCGCGGAGAGGGGCAACATTGCTGACTATATGATCCAGCGTACAGACAGGCCAGGCAACAGTCACACCTCTCTGGCCTACCGACGTCGTACCGTGCGCTCTATCATGAGCTAAATCCACACCCTGGTCTTTCCCCAGTACCTGATCTAGGGGATCCAGTCACGATCGCCGAGCAGAGCGAGAATGAAGCAGTCTATCGACGACTACTCGCCAACGGCATCCTAGCAGTTCTTCTTCCTACGGAAGACCTCGAAAACAGCAGTCTTCGAGCTCTGGTGGTTGATGTTATAGCAGATCTGATACTTGGAAACCAAGTCAGTGGCAGGGCATGCGAAGGATGGTTCATTTGGGAAACTATAGGCAAACTCGCCGCTCAAGTGGGACGCCGTCAAACCCAAGATGAGACAAAGACAAAATCCGCCCCGGGCTCTCAAATCAACCGATTAGAAAAATTTGGCCTGCTTTCAACCGAGGATGAGCTGCCAACCCCATCGGCGTCATTCTCGGCCACTTGGATATGGAACCTTCTGCAGAATATTTATCTTGGTTACGTCGTCTTGCGTTTCATTGCAATGGGTTTATTTCGTGTCGCATCGAGCCCAGGCCCCTCTTCGCACGGTGTCGGTGTTTCACTTGCCTTACCCATCAACCATAAAGGAGATGAGATGGAGTCAGATGGCACAAGTAGACGCCCGGTTCTCGACTACCGGATGTATTCCGTGGTTTCGCAGATATTGGGAATCCCATGGAGAATGCCATGGTTGAGCGGGTTGCTCGCCCTATTCCAACACCTTATTTTGGCAGGCCCAGGCAGGGTCGGTGCCACGGATGGAGTCTTAGATAGGTGAGTTTTTGCTCTATTTTTCTTTTATCTCCTTCTCTGCAACCTCAATGCCCCCTCCTTCTCAAGGGCTCAGGCCTTGGATAATCAATACTGTGGAGCAATGGCACGATCTCCGAATTACGATCTACGGGGTCAAGTGTCACTTGTGCGAGTTAGGGTGGGACATGAAGCGTCTTCCAAGGTTGCTCGCATGCCGCGTCGGTCACTTGACCTGTAACCTCTTGGAAGGCTGCAATACCCGGGGAGATTACGGTCATCTTACGATGTCTTCATACTGTACGGTCATTACCGTCTCTGTTCTTGCATGAGATTGGTTGCCCTCAAACTGGTCCGAGCGACCTTCGAACAGGGATGACCGTGTCTGCCCGCGGATGCCCCCGTCTCTGCTTTGGAGTGATAGCGCCGGGGCCCGGCCCTTTCCGTACCGCTCCACTCTGCGAATCTAAAGATTCCAACATGTGTCAACTTTCAAAGATTTGATTTACACGAAAAGAAAAAAAAAAAAACAAGAGATGAGAATATCTGGGCGATCGAACTCTCCTTGGCAAAAAGGGTGCTAAATCTCGTGCACGAGCAAAAGAGGGAAAAAAAGATACTGCCGATCATCCCATCGGTGGAAGTGAAGGCCATACCTCTTTTGGCTTAAAAAGGGAGAAAAAAAGAAAACCAGCCAAGATTGAATTACTGATTTCGGTCCAATGAGCGAAATTCCTGCCGGGAAGGATTGGAATTCGTAATCTGACCGAGGTTCGTGCATGAAGCCCCAGGTACGGGATGTTACCTGAAGAGGGGAGATGTTTTTTTCTCTTGATATTCCCCTGTGGCCCAAGCTCCTAAGATCTTGCTCCGCCTCTATATACGGTCAATCCTTATATGCTTGGACTTTTTTAATTTCGTTTATGCGCGAAAAAAAAAGGCACAACGTCCCGGAGCTCCACAGTCGAGATTATCGCTTCACTCTTTTATTATTTTCTATTTATTTTCTTTGCCCAATTGCTCCGACGTCATGATTTGAGACCTTTTTGCTAACTCCCACAGATTCCTCCGGGAAACCATTGAGGAGTACGTGCTGACCCCCACTTTGTTGCCCAACCTTCTTCTTGCGACAAGGACCGCCTTGTTCCCGGCCAATACCCGTCCAATATCTCAAATAGCGGCCGGGCATATTGAAGCTCCGGCCTCGGCTCTGCA